GAGGCATTAAGTCGAGGTTTTATGTTGATTACAACGATATAAGCGACTGCAGAAGTCTAGTTGCCCTAAGAGCTCAAGATCTGAAAATCCATCAGTGGGGTTTTCAATTTGAAACGGGTATAGTAAATAGTCTAAGCTCTCTGTGTAGATACTTCACAAGTTTGCCTGTATTTTTTTCAGTCGGTTGGTGTAGGTTCATATCGTTAAGTAATGTATAGTCTCTGTCTAGATCCAGAGATGCGTGGCAGTATGTAATCAATAATTCAGAATTTAATAAGTCATATCCATAACAATGTAAACACAACTGATTAATTTAATTAGCGGTCTCGAACGTAATATCAGTGGTTAAGGGATGTGATCCAGTTACAAAGGCACGTCCTCAGGGAATCTCATTTGTTGATATGTAATCAATTCTCCCATGATTCTAATTAAATACGTCTATTATTTAATTGACGAACATATAAAAATATTACCAAAGATTTGGTAGCTAGTAGAAAGTATTAGTCTTGAAAATATATACTTTAAATTCTTACATAAAATATTTTGTTTTTCTTGCTTTATTTTAATAAAAAGTATAAGAGAAAATATACTGTACTAGAGGAAAAAAGATATACATACTTTTTTTACCAAACGTATGAACATCGGATCTTACACACAATACTCGTCTTAAGATACGAAATAAACGGGCACGCTACTATAGCAGCGGTAAGACCCCTCTTTGAGGAGTGGCTTGAGAGACGCCACGGCGTCCTCACCTACCGCCTGACGCAGGTGCTTACCGGGCACGGCAGCTTTGGTAGGTTCCTGTTTCGGATCCAGCGGGAGGAAACGCCCGAGTGTCGTCATTGTGAGGATCACCTGGAGGACACGGTGGAGCATACGGTGGCGGAGTGCCCTGCTTGGGCTGAGCACCGCCGTGTTCTCAGGGAAGTGATCGGCGGCGGCGACCTCTCGCGCCCGGCCTTAATCGAGGCCATGGTGCAGCGTGAGAGGAACTGGGAAGCTATCTCCTCCTTCTGCGAAGCAGTTATGCTCGCAAAGGAGGAGGCGGAGCGCGTGAGGGAACTATCCTCCTCGCGCCCCAGCCGCCGCAGAAGGCGACATTCCGGACGTCGGGGATCGAGGGATGATCTCCGGCCACCGTAAGCGCGGGTCTGCGGACGGCGAGTAAGGGTAGCTCGCCGCCCGACCAGAACTGGACCCGAGCGTACGGCGCGTAGCGTTCCGCGCGCGCCTCAAAGAGCCAATAGACCACCACAGTCGGGGCCCTAAAGGGCTGATGTTTAGCCGGGGCTGCGGGGTAAGCACAATGAGGCACCGCGACCTCGGCCCAGAGCAGGAGAAGGAACGGGGGGGTTTTTAGTCAGTAAGAGTCTGACACTCTCTCTCGCCTTACCCTGGGCGGGAGAAGTCATTGGATGATTTTCCCCTGACAAAAAAAAAAAAAAAGATACGAAATAAAACTAAGATATACCTATTCAGATTAGCCAAGCATCCGTCCTTACAACGGCTGGATGAACAAAATAAATGTACAACAACGAACTGCCGACTGTTAGCAAATAAATAAATACAACGGACGGGAAATCAAAATCGGCAGACTACAGATAATGAATCTGCAAACACTTTAAAAACCTCTTTCTATTTTTGTTGTTTATGGTAAACACGGCGAAGTTTGTACAAAGATAACGGTTTTTGAATCATCAAAGGAATTTTAATAAAAAAATTGCTTTTTTTCTTTTTTATAATTATCAGAGTAAGTTTTAATAATGACATGGACGGTATGTGTTAGGGATTTTTGGGAGGACTGAATTCCAATAATCTTTATTTAAGTAAAAAAATGTTTTTGTTTTATATGTATAATAAGTACCTACTTATTTTATTTTAATTTAATTTAGAATTGTAATTTTTGCAATTTCTATATTATTTCTCTTCCTATTATTTTAAATTATATTCTTTCCTTTATTATTAATTATTTTTTGTGTCACTACGAAATATTTTGTGCATGTTGTGACACCATAAAATGCTGTACCTTTAATTTTATTATAGTGTATTTAATGTTTAGATGTAAGAAATAATGTAACAGCTAGGTACTGGTTGTCCATAATCCAATATTAAATAAATAAATACTGCATTAATATTTGTCATATACAATATCAAAATACTGGGGTCTCGAAACAAAGAAACATGGTAACTATCTAGCTTTTTTATGGAACCGGAAATGCAAAAGTCTAGACCGACGGCTCATACCGATGGATAGCGTGATGGACCACTGCAACGCCAAAGGACAATAATCAAATTATATCAAATAATATGACTCGTTTCTATGTTCGCTTTATTAAAACATAATTTTCTTTATTCGTAAGTGGAGAAATAATAAATAAATGTGTCACTTTCTTACGGTCTATTTAGCAATTTAATTACTTGACATGGAAGGTTCAAACGATTGATGATTACTGTGACTGAGAAAAGGGTCACTGAGGCGTCATAAGTGTGTTTCACAGTGAAACCTATTAAGGTGTTGGTTTTATATCAAAGGGTGAATTTAATAACATAAAATGTTGAAAGCTTTTTGAACGAAGTATTGTAAGCATCAAAATATAAATAAAGAGACATTATAATATGTTACCTCAATATATGTCTTATTGATAAGAAAATAAGGTTTGTGTATGCTGTGGTATGTTTACATTCAACGCGATGTATTTTAGTCACGCCTAACTCCGTCTAAGTGTTGCGCTTTGATATTTTTCAAAACCTTAAATTGCAAATGCTCGCACGTTTCAAGTAAAGTGCTGCTTAAAGATCTATATATAATTCTTTCATTGTGAAAGGCAGTCCTTGTAATGGGTGTAAAAATGTTGAGATGAGAACGTCGGGAGTTTTGTGAATTTATATTTTAGTATTATGTATTGAAGTTGAAGGACATTCGTAAAGTTTTGTTTAAGGGCTGATTTTTCAATGGTTAGATAAAAGTTATCAGGGGAATAATTATGATGCTGTCGCGTCAGAATGTTTGTATAAGACAGTGACAGCAACAATTTTATTTCTCAGATAACATTTATCTGACTATTGAAAAAAAAATTATGACTATACATATAGGTAATCTACCAGTTTATAGGTAATAATAACAGAAAAATTATATATTAAAATAATAATCTAATAGTATTTTAATTTTCAACAATAAAGATGAGTATTTTTCTATAGGTAGACGATATGAAAAAAGATTATGAACCCTCACTCTTAGACAATGGTCAATGATAAGAATTTCTGACAAGCATTCTTACTTCGTTCTTTGAATAATTTGGGGTAGAAAAATGTGGGATAGAGGGAAATACTTGGATAAACAAATACTAAGGCTGGTATTTCAAGTATCCTTTATCAAAAATAATGTGTGTTTTTAGATAAATATTTACGAGTAATATCGGCGTGATTAGGTACATCTTTTTATATATAAAATTTTCGTGTCACGTGTTTGTCCGCGATGGACTTCTTAACTACTAAACCTAATTTAAATTTGATTTGCAATCCGTGTGCATTTTGATCCGACTTGAAAGATAGGATAGCTTACATCTCAATTTATAGTCACAATATTATTAACCTTAGCTACAACAACGCGTGGCTGGGTTTGCTAGTTATGATAATAAAATACAATACACAAGCTTGTAACAAGAAAATAATCCAACTCTATAGGTAATACAAGTAAGCAGTTTAGCCTTATAACAGGTCAATTCTATCAAAACTTCTTGCACAAATGCTCCGTTTAATTGTGATAGTACGTCAATTTATAAACCTTCGGAGGATTCTGAAACTAAATTATGATCCTATGAATAAATTTTAGATTTATTAGGTACCCTGTTTGTCACGTTTACAGCCGACTATATAACTATCGACTGTATAGTTGAATAGACTGAATGATAATAAAATATGTTCCTGTATTGATTTATAGTTTCCTCCATCACTTTGCTCAGAGAAAGAAATAGTAGTATAAATATTTAATACTGAAACAGTCTAGGGTAACTATTTAAATTAGTTTAAGCATTATGAATTTAGACGAGAATTAAACCGCAAGAGTGATGGTGCTGTCATAAATTACCTTATATACATGTTAAAAGACTAGCAGCTTAGGAATTTGATACTAAGTTACCGCGCATATTAACCGTTGCTGTTGTATTTTCATATAAATATGTATTTATGAATATGAATACTAGTAGTGGTCTGTCAGCGAATATTTTTTGTGTGTGTGTGTTTCTTTTATATGAAAATCAACGCCACTTTTCGTTGTAATGTGATAAATCAACGATGCCTTACTTACCATAAGTGGAAGTATAGAAAAGGTTTGTACGTAGAGAGAGAAATTAAAACAAAATACTTGGAAATTGTTAAATGCGAGCGGGGCAGCGGGCGACCGCTTGTATCTTATGTGACACACATCTTAATTCATTCAAATTACGACTTTCCGACATTGTCAATTAGGTTTTGAGGACGGATGAGGAAAGGTCTTTGGTAAACTCATCCATACAGCAAAACAACGCTGTAGTTATTTTACGTCGGTTTCCTATGAGGAAACGTAACGGATCGCTGGACAGGAAGCGATCAGCGCTGTTCATGGACATGGACACCATTACTAAGATTTTTTTTTCGGAAATGTACTAACTATCGTTTCTGGAGCTTGACGTCATATTGCGTATGTCTTTAAAGTTTAATTAAGATCGGATGGACCCTTGAAATTTGACTTGAAAGGTTGTATGGCAATCCGTGCCGCATAAATGCTATTAACATTATTTTCAAAGTACCATATACAGACATTAAAATATGACAGCAAATATTGACACAATATTAATCGTTTTATTTGTTCGTATAAAATGCGACAAGCATCTTTTGCCTGTTATATAATTCATGGGTTTTATAATTAATTAAAAACTCTATAATACTACCAAACGCATTATCAATAATGCTTTTGTTGTGTGAGGAAAATTTTGGGACTTCTGGCGCCGTTATCCGGAATGAGGCTGGCAGTGGCTGGACGAGAAGAGAGAGAGAAGAGTGGTGTACAAATGGAGAGGCCTATATCCAGTAGTGGACGGAATCATGACGCTGATGATGATGATGATGATGAATCGTGTTCTTCTATTTTACTCTAGTAGTATTCACTGTTTATCTGTACATCACATAATATGCAATCTAAGATGTAGTTATGTTTACACATATTTTTACAAATAAACAATCTTTATCTTTAAACGAAAATGCACTCACTAAACATATTAGTTGTTGCTCTATATATCTATATATAAACGGTTAGTTTCAAGTTATCTATTTAACTACAATACAAGTAGTTAACAAATCCTTTAGCGACAAGATAAGCCGTTAATTGTTACCAAGCAATTAAAAGTTTAGCCGCCGCTTACTAAAGCATACCTGAGAGGTTTCAAGTGAAACTGCCACCAAATAACTTAGAACATAGTTCATGTAATACATGTACTAACTAGCATACAAAGACCTTTGCTTATATACTAACTGATAAGTTGTCATAATCTGTTATCATTGGGTGTTAGAACCAATAAGAAAATCGAACAAGCTTGTATGCAAAAAAGAAAATGCATTAAATTCAAGTTTTTTTTAATATTATTAAATTTTTTGCTTTGTGTAACGTAATTATGATGCAACCTGAAACTATCTCATAGCTGAAAAGAATTTGTGTAAGGAGAAGTAATGAACATTAATCGTCAAAGTTAAGCCAGATCAAATCGATTGAAGTTATTATTTTATCAAGACATATAGGTTCTTCACTTTTTAATCACCAGCTCTTTAATTTAAAGCATGTACTTATTCAATTAAAACGTGCAATATCACTCTCTTGTTTACCACTCCATAGAACGTAATGTTTTTAAACTAATTAGGCGTTAACTTCAACATCAAACGGCGAAAGTATTTTGTTTATAAGTCAAACGAGTGTGGAAATGAAACCTCCTTACAGCGACACTTGACGAGGGTTGTTCGTTAAAAAGACAATCCGCATTCATTACACGGTGTACAAATAAACAATTTGTCTATTGCGTAAGAAAGCTTAACATGTTTCATTATAAACACAAACAAATAACTTCACTTTTTTTTTAATCTACTATCGGTATATATTAGTAAAGTAACACTCACTATTAATCAGTAATTTGTTCTTAGTCTCTATAAAAATGTAAATAAAATAAATATGAATATTTAAGGCAAGTTTATTACATAATTGCTATTAACGCAACAAAACGTAAACAAAGCTGAAAAGAAGTTTAAAAGTTAGGTAGGTACTCACCTGAAACTAAAGCTTAGTATGATGAGGTAATTGATCAGCATGGTTGATATATGTTGGTATATTGTCACGTAATTTATATCGAGTATATGTTTATACGCGGTGGTTGGGTGCGTGTGTGTTTGCGCGCACGGCGTGCGACGAGGGCCAGCGTTTTGTTGGCGGTTCGCGCGCTGCCAGCCCGCGGCATCAACAGCCGTCCAGAGTCTGCGCGCATGCGTAAACAACGGAAGACGAACCACGAAATAAGTTTTCGTTTTTTCTGTTATGCGGTTTTAAGTTTTATTTTTAATATTAAATAAATATTGTTTTTCAATAAACAGGTTACATACACCGTGGCGTGATTGAACAACTAAATTAACGATAAGGAATTAGTGTAAAAGATTAATGTTATATGGATCTTTATATGCATATATGGTTATTTAATTAAATTGTAAAGAAGTCGATAAACGATATTGATTTCCGGACGATAGTTAAATAAGTAACAATTGAATAAGTAGTTACAGCATTGTATTATCAGAATTATTATTTAGAAATATGTTTGTTCAATAACATATGTGAACTTGAGCAGCCATTTAAAATGCAAAATGGTCTTACCTGCAGAACAATAGCGTCCAAACGGACCGATCCCTAAGGCTCTGGTTGATTGCTTCGTCTCAGGTCTCCGACGTAGCTTCGCCACTCTTCTACTTAATAGGATTTCTCAATCCGCTGAGCTATAGCTTGCTATTACCAAAAGCCACCATTTTGTATGTGCACTCGAACGGAATGTGTTGAAAAATTATTCGATTTCAATGTGCACTGATGTCATATATCAAGTGGTGTTTGGAGCGGTGCCATGTTCATAATTTTATTAATTGTACCGTTTTAGAAGTTATTACTGTAAATTATTGTTTTGGTTAATAATTTATTGCCTTTTTGTTTAACAGATAATTGGTGATTTTTACGTTTTGTTTCTTTCTATGCTCGTTGTTTATTAAATAACCTCCCTGCAAAGATACGATATAATATCTAACTACTAAGACAAGATGAAAAAACTTAAAACTATTGTTAATTTTTGAATCGTCGTGGTGGCCTGGAGGTTAAGGAGGCTTCTCATGCATGAGGGTGTGGGTTCGAAACCTTGCAAGTACCAATGTGACTTTTTCCGAGTTATATGTACTTTCTATGATTATTTAGACACCACTGACATACGGTGAAGGTAAACATCGTGAGGAAACCGGACTTATAATTTCTAATTGTAAGTTTGAAATCGCCAACCCGCATTGAGCAAGCGTGGTGATTATGCTCAAACCTTCTCCGTGTGAGAAGAGGCCTTTGCTCAGCAGTGGGCACTTATAGGCTGATGATGAATGATGAATGATGATGAATTGTTAATTTTACTTGTTATTGTTTCATGTAACAGATACTGACTAAAATCTAACTATTTTTAAATGCTTTCAACACGATGATAAATATTTACTCCAAACTTAAATCCGAGTAAATCGTAAAATTTCAAAACATTTTACAGTTCAATTAAACAAAGATCCAATTTCATTTCGTTTGTGAAGATTGATTGAAACCAATTTTTTATTACTCAGTCGCCGTCCGGAATTATTATTAATTAATTTGCTTTTAACATTTTCAGATGCTTGTGATAATTACATTTGCATTTTTCAGTAAATATTATGAATAGTTATCGTCATCATCAAACCAGGTTATTCCTCTAAACTACAACTGAAACTTAATGATGATACGATAGGCTTACTCACTACAAATAAACCAAAGACTGGGTAAATATAACAGATCACAAAAGCGAAAGATTTTATTTCATTCCACTTTGTTCGATCTCCGTCCTATTATGTAACATCATCTAAGATTTCCATTAGCGATTTCTATCAAATGAAACCTGAAATGATTCTGAAACCAACAATAAGGTAATATACACAATATTATATGAATTGTGGAAAGTTATAAGATTATCTTAACTTTGCTCACATAATCAAACTCGCCGTTATCGCTCGTAGCAATGCGTGTTAAATGTGCTACGAACTGCTACGAACGTAGCGCTACGAACACGTGTAGCCATGAGGTAGCTTTCAAATGAAAATAGAAGATATTGTGGAAAAGTGATAAAATAGCACAAACCATTCCAAAAATATATCTGAGATAAAGTAAGCACAATCTTCTACACGCTTCAGTGTATATTGTGAGTACCCTCCAATAAATTTCCATTCATTCGCACTTCAGTTTTTTCGCGGATATATTTATAAGGTTCGAACCTCGGAGGCATTTACAAATGGTTGGCACGACAGCTATCAGACACGTGACCTCAGAAATAATACACAGAGGTTCGGAGTGACGGCGATTTCTAACAAAACCTGTACCTCTCCTATGACATGTAATGTGTACCTAGAGACTCTCTGCTTTACTATGAAATTTCGAATTTGATAAATATTTTTCTCGTAAAAATTATAGTTGATAGTTCTAATGGCAATAAACTTTATAAAATTGATACTGAAGTTCCTATAATATCTATGTTATTTATTTATTGGTACAAGGTCGTAATCTGATCAATAAAAGTAATCGTATACCGGCGAATTCTTGTTCCCTATTTACACATTGTGAATATTTAGAATCTTTGTTTAAAAACTGCAAGACTTAAAAAAGTACCACAATTCTTATATCACACTGTATGTTTGTAGCTGAGAAAACCTGATTTCTCCAAGGGTTTTCAAGCCGTTCTGCATAACACAAGAACTAGCCACATTCAGCCACATTATTAATAAATGAGCTCGGCTTATCAATGCAACACCGTGCAGTCAGCGACCGAAATGGCATAACGAATATCTGATGTGAAGCGGATTAAATATGTTTGTGTACCTAATATTTGTACATACAACTACAACTCTTTGTTTGATCCACAAATTGTTGTTCCGGGTCTGGGTGCCATGTGTATGTGAAATTGTATGTTTGTAACCGCACCCACGACACAGGAGAAAATCCTAGTGTGGGTCAACGTTTTATAAAAAACAAAAAAAAAATTTAAGTGTTTTAATCAAGATTATTTCAATGTCAATTTTTCGAACAGAACAATTTTATCTATAAAGTCCGTATTTTCTTCTTGTTGTATATTATACTTACAACTTAACCTGGAATAACTGATCAGGAAAACTGACCCTTTCCAACTACAGTATAAAACTAATATTTTGAATATATCATCTTTCTAAAAATATTTCTATTATCCTACAATAACCAATACGTTGTAAACTTTTTTTTAAAAAATGCTATCTGTTAGTTGTAGACTAGTAACCTTCTAAAACCTTTAGTTGTGGTCCAAAACTAGTGAGTATGAAGCACGTCTTTTTTAAATCACCATCATTACGTCACTCAATCTTGGGGCTTAACATCCGGCTACACCAAACATTTTTCAATCCCCACAAAAGGAAGGTGCTACGTAACATAGATATCATGTATCGCCAGATAGCAATGTACATACTTATACACATTTTATATATTTAGAAAATAAGTCTATGCTGTTTAAAATGTGAATCAGAAGCGTGTAAGTGTGTTTTTGAGTTAATTACTGTGCTGATCGAGATTCCAAGTTTGTTTAAGTATAGTTTCATCAAGCAGCAAGTTTTTTTTTCATCGTATGAAAGGGGTTTCAAAGCCCAGTCTACTCCCCATCCCCAAACCTCAAAAAAACTAACGACGTAATTTTTTAACTCCTTTGGTCTTGAAGGTGTCCTTGAGCTGCGCCGATTGCTTACCATCTGGGGTGTGATTCTGTAAGACTTCATTCTAAACTTCGAATCTGAATCCGCGGTGAGTTTCTTGATTGGCATTCTAAAACTCGATTCCTAACTCGAATCTATGCTAGCGCTACACTTGTGAGTGTGTTTACGAGTTGAACTAAATTGACCGCAACATTTTGACAGATAAAGTATGAGATAACGTTGAAAATCGTATTCTATAATGTAATTTACCTGTCACTTCGACGCTCACTTCGAACTAGAACAAGATTCAAAATGTCAAATTAAAAGTATCTATTTTACGAGTGAAAATTGAAGAAATAATAGTTAGATAGTGTTCAAATTAAGTTTTGAAAGTAACAAAGTGAATAAGTGCTTACCTATTAAAACGATAACAATGGCAAGAATGATTTTGGTAAAATCTTTGTTAGAAGAAGCTCATGCTTTAGATAAACAAGAAATGCGTCGACAATCTTGCACCATTCGAAGTTTGTCTTTATTAACCTGAGGTGACGACTATGTGAGCGTGTATCTGCAATGGAGCTGATTGACCAACTGGAGTATGAGTTACTCCCTTTGATAAAACCCACAAAACGGCGAGGCAAAGGGCTTTGAACTTTCAAATATATACATATATCTGTATAATAATATAATAGTTTAGTTCACAACATATATTACCATGTTATACCCCTACTTCAGAATATATAAGTCTAATTACTAGGTTTAATTTATATGTGATTGGTCGGCAAACAAGCAAACGGATTACCTGATGGAAAAGATTCAGCGCCGCCAATGGATAACCGCAACAACAGAGGGGTTACGAGTGCGTTGCCGACCTTTTGGGGATTATGGATTTGGAGATTTTGACACACATTCACACGGTGAAACACAACGCTGTGGTTGTTTCACGCCAGTTTTCTGTAAGGCCGTGGTATCTCTCCAGTGGACCGAGCCATTCGTGCCGAAACATGGCTTTCGCACACTTAAAATGGTATAAGTACTAGATAGTCATTAAATTTTTTTTCAGGTGATTCAGGATTTGCTCGACGTACGACGACCTTATGACACCATTAGTGGTGTTGAAGACAATTCCACAGAAGCATTTTAAAATAACATACATATTACTGCTCGCAATTCAGAAGAGAGGACAATTAGAGACGAAATTATGTACAATTGCTGAAGTTCAAAGAAGGCAAACTAGGAATTTGTCATCTAATACAGGTTTTAATCTAGGACGTAGGCAAAATATAGTGCCTCAAAGAGCCAATAGACTACCACAGACGGAGCCCTACAGGGCTGATGTTCAGCCACGGTGGAGGGGCAAGCGCAATGAAGTGCCACGGTCACGGCCTAAAGCAGGAGAAGGAACGGTGGTTTAGTCAGTAAGAGTCTGACACTATCTCGCCGTTTCCCTGGGCGGGCCTAAAGCAGGAGAAGTCATGATGATTTTCCCCTGACAAAAAAATATGATTATGATTTATTTTATTTTGATTTTAAGTCAATTAGGGTGTTGTATGATTTTACTTTTTCCATTTATTACAATTTTTCCTTTTAATTTAGCCTTACGAGCCTAATTGTTAGGCCCTAGTTGATTTATTGTAACCCATAATTGTTTGAATGTACATTTGAGTTAAAGTCAAATAAATAAATAGTCAGTGATATGTGAGAATGGGTCTTTAACTAATAAAACTGCTAGCACTCGTTAAAATTCTTTAATTTAAATATAATAAAAAAGTTGGTTGAAACCTTCTTAAAAACTAAAACACAACTTCGTTGTTACACCCTATCTTGATGCCATGGCCTCTGCCAATGCTCATAATCCATTCCCGATTGAAACTACAGATCCAGCTAAAATTTAATCATTCCCTAGACTTCTCTTCAGAAATGCTTGCAAGATCTGTGCATTTGATTTTTGTAAATTCTTCCAATTGATTTGAAATCGTCTACTCTTCCACACTCAGGAATCCCTCTGTGATGTTGAAGAATTCTATTCGCCGTTGTGATGTTGTGTGACGGGATGCTGAAAAGAGAACACCGATTACTATGTGCATTGATAAAATCTCTTTAACAAATTGCAGCTTTTCGCTGTCGTTTGTTCCAAAAATTAAGTTCTTTCTTCAACCTCTGATAGCTCAACTTCATCTTCCACCACACCAGTCCTGTCCTGCGCCTAGCTGCTGAGCTTCTTATGGCGCTTTTTTCTCAGACCAATACTACAAGCAGACATTTATATTAATAAAGAAGTTATTAAAAAAAGCCTTACTTTTTATTATTATTAATAGTCAACGTAAAATTAAAATAAGATAAGTTATATAACCAAGGAGCACGCCAAGATTCATCGCTATTTTAAGTGGCTTGCATTAAAGAATATTAAATGGTTTTAACATGCCAAAGTAAGCACTACTTACTTCACCTTGGTCCTCTGTTTATAAGTTTTGAAAGTGCCACCTATACTATTCAGGCACACGGCTAGTTCCTTCCACTAGCGTCGCTTTCGCTCTCTGGCACCTTGAGTTCTCAAGAAACCCTTCGCCAGCCAGGTTTCAACCTGAGATGACGACGGGTGTGAGGAACGTATCTCATTTGGACTGAAACATTATTGTTTGATTAGAAAACAAAATAAACACTCTTTAATAAATATTATTTTTGAACTTTACAACCAGTAATAAAACTTACTTCATGATTATTATGATGTCTCTTTTTATCGGCAAGCACGAAACGAAAAAATATACGAATAAACCAAACGTGGACAAAATAATACAAAGCAAATGACAAAGAATTTGTCAACAATGAATGAAGACATTATCTGTCAGTTTCTTTTTGGTAAACGTAGCACAGACTATATTCATCGCCTGAATTTACAGTTTTCTGTTTATTTTGTAATAATTAGCTGCCTTAATTTCCTTAAAATAAGAAATTTCAATTTATACGTCATAATATCTAAAATTCTGTGTCAAAAACTTGTTAAAATAAAAACCGATAAATCTCGACTTACATTATGTGGAGTATGGTACCACACTAGTACCAGTTCTCTTCACTTCACTTCGCAAGTGCCTAGGTGATGCTTACAGAATGCAAAATCAACGCCATTTTGAACCTTATGCGAAGTGAGAGAGAATATCGACTTGACATGCGAGTTCGTGTTAGAATTTTATAGAATCGACGTGCTGGTCTGGTAGACAAGAGAAATCCCATAAAAAACCATTAAAACTTACTTAAAATATATGGTATTGTTCTTATACTAGCTAGACTTCTAATATTTGCTGGGTGATTAGCATTGATTAAACATTTTTGCATTCGTAGCAATAGTAGAGTAATTTCGGCAATCGTAGCGCATCGTAGCAAACTCCTAGCAATTTCGTAGCACTTCTTTTAATTGCTCGCGGGCTTTGTAGCAGTTGGTTTTGCGAAGGTTTAGGACTCATCAGTATTATCACAATCTAGACGACCTTTTGCAAAAGCAAAAAGTTTTAAATAGCTTTTACATTGCAGGTTTTTCAGGTCTAAGGTTCCAAATCGCGAGATTATCGACGTTGAAAACATATCAGTAAATACAGTCTTCATACGTAATCCATAATATCCCTTATTCGTATACTTATTGGATTGAAAAAAGAGATCAAACGAGATTGAGACTCGAATATCCTTAGCATTAATGTAATATGAAAAAAAAAATATTCGATTTGTTAAAACGAATTTGTATTTGTGACATAACGGTGCGAGAGAACGTGGTTACCATGTTGTTTTGATCAATAAATAATTTAATTTTGTTCGTTTTCACAGCGAGTTAAAAGTAACTATATTATGTTTTATTGATTGTTACAAATTTCTATAGTTTACAAAACTGTCGTGAAGCGATTTCGAATATTGCTTTCAGTTCGTTTCATTCGGTGGTCAACAATTCACATAGTTAAAATATTACTACTGGCCTCTGTTTTTGAAAAGATATGTCTTATCAGATATTATTTTATTTTATTCTATTTTCAGCTATTAAAAAAACAAAACAACAAACTAACATTAATAAAAACAAACACAGATTTCAATGAAATGAATAAAAATAGTAACGATTTTCCAATGACATTATAAGAAGAGGTCCTATTTATAAGAATTCCAGTTTTCACAAGGCACGTGAACCTTACCAAGGAGTTACACCTACAGACAAGATAATATTTATGCCATCAGTAGGTATTTACTTAGAATATAGGGACGTACATATGTGATGTACACGTGAACGTCAAAGTGTTTATCGTACGCGGGTGAGAGTGGCGGCGCGGTGTAGGCGTGTGGCGTGTAATCTGGAAGCGGACGCGCGCGGGCCGGCCTCGCCAAATAACTTCCGCACTACACCTGCTCTGCTGACACCGTGTGCCACTTTCTGCATCAGGTGTACCTCGACACGTGTACCCTCGCATCTAGCTTGTATGCACATCACAATAGCTTGTACGTACGTATGCATGTTGTACGTTTCTATGCTTGTTGTAATCGTAGAATATGGTTATTCAGTAATAGGAGGCGCCACGTATCGATATTTTAGATGAAAATTTTTGTTGACAATAAAAATATCTTCTAATGCATACATAAATAATGTACTTTGAATTGGAAAATACTAAAATATTCATAAATTTCTAATACATATGTGTATTCTAACTAAAATCACTTGACATTAAAAAGATGAGAACCCAAATTTTCATTCGCCTCACGACACGACGTGTCCTATACCGAGGGCGGGTAGTAAAACTACTCTAATAATCATGCAAAATACTGCTCTGTACCGCGCTAACTTAAAAGATAGGAATACATAGAAGTAAAGTGAAGATCAAGAACATTGCGAGCGACAATTGAAAAACATTTTTGTGTACTTTCATGTCAGAATAGTTTGAGAAAAAGCCCAAAGTTGCGAAGTAATTCGCGCCAATAGCGAGTGTGGAGTGCTGCGTGTAGCGCACGCGCGAGGCCACTCCGCACGCCGCTGCCGCCGCGGCCGCTCACGCCACACGAATACATCGCAGATCGCGATCGCGATACCTCGCTACTTCGTTCACCGTATCACGCAACTATGGCAAGTCGGTACCAAGTATGTGCGGTGTAAGCGGTGCAAGTGCGAGGCAGGCGCGTGCAGGGCGAGTGCGGTGAGCGCGCGATGCGCGTGCCCGCTCGTGCCCGCGTTCCCGCCGCGCGATGAGCGCGCCCCGCTACACGCGCTGTCTGCACGCGCACGCGATTTTTCTACTCTTGATACGAGTTCTACCATTCACGGTGGCACAGTAAGTACACAGTTAGAAAGTTTTTATATTGTTACCTAAATAATTTATCATAAGAAATTTAACCTAAATAATTAAAGAAAACGTTAGGTAGTTAACCATTCTTCACATACGTAGTAGTATTAACCTTACTGAAATCTTTTATAAAGAATAGATTCGAAGAAATAAAAATATGTTAAAGTTTTCCGTTTATGTGGAAGTAAGACAGGGTGAAAAGTTAATAAACTAATTCAAAACACCGACACAACAAGTTTTAATTTTGCATCATAATAGCTCACCACATGCTAGGAAATTACTAAAACAAAGGCATTCCGCAGCCGTCGGCCGCATCTCCTGTGTACGTCCGTTCATATTTACTTTGCTTGATTGCTAACTTTTCCTGCCTTTGAAAACAACGACTTTATAATTACATAGTTTTATAAACATACACAAAGTTTGTAGCTGAAGGAACTTTTAGGAAACATACGTAACGCAATTTTTTAAAAACGTTTAATTAATTACGTTACATGAAAAAGTACTTTCCGAAGTTTTTTGCTTTTGTTATTTGCACGTCTTAGACGAAACCTTCATCAGTTCTAGTTAGAGTAAAACTAAAAACAGTTCTTTATCATTTGAACGAAATGAATTTAATGCCGGTTCGTCCGACCCCGGCGCTAAATGCCAATTCAGTTTAAAGCCCGCTCACAAATCTCATTTAGATTGCCTTAGTACGCGTAATATCATGCAGATAGGCAAATGTTTAGGAATGTAAATATCTGGAAGATGGTACCAACGCTCCCTATGATTTTATATGTATGTGATTATACCTAATTAACTAACAAAAATACTGTAATTATTATCCCCATCTCTCGAGGTGTTTATGTACTTCATGTAAGAAATTATTTAAATGTGTTAAGAATACTTCTTAGTTTCAAAATCTATTTATCTTTAAGAATGAACAAGTTTTTTAAGATCTCGTTTTATGTTAGTGTTCGTTAAAATAGACAAGATAATAGTAACTAGTTTATTTTCATAACAGGAATGTATAATCTATAATCTATAATAATATTATAAAGAGGTAAAATTTGTAAGTTTGTATGTAGGGGGTAATCTTTGGACCCGCTGGTCGGATTGCCAAAATTCTTTCACTGATAGATAGCTACAATGTTCCTGAGTGCTAAAGACTATATAACATCACGCTACGATCAAATGAAGCCGAGCATGATATAAAATCTATTTACTCGATCAGTCTGACAATTAAAAAATATGACATACTTACGCGTTTTTAACACGCCTTTATTAGTTTTATTTGTAACTGTAATGTATGTATGTAAGAAAATCTTGATTTGTATTTATTTTGTCATGGTACAAAACTTAATCAAACAAATTGAAGTTTAGCAGTAGAATGTATCAATATTACCTCAAATCGTGACGTCACACGATATATATGTAAATTAATATACTACCGATATCGTTTGATGGCGTAAGAGAAAAAAATATGTTTCAAAGTAATCCAAAAGTCGGATATAAAAAGTAACTTATGATCCTTATTACAAAAAAACCGAGTTTCAATCTACGACCTTTTTAAATAAGTTAAAAGGAGCGATATATCTGCTTTTTTTTGAAGGCAGAAAATCTTCAAACAGCTTCTATTGCCACCCCGTTCCTTCTCCTACTCCAGACCACCAGACCGAGGTCGAGGTACCCTTGATCCACAACCCTGGCTGAAGATATAGTTGGCCAGCATGGTTCTCCTAAACTTATTTTACATAAAATTATAATACAATATGTTATGTTATGTTCTTTTTAAGAAAGAAGATATAAGATTGATGACTTCGCTTTTCCACTTGACATAAAGCAAATGCGTGTAAATTGAAAACAAACGAGAAGTGCATACAAAAAGGCCGCACTTATGTAATATGTTCGGAGAATTAATTAAAGTAACATTTAATAATGGAATAGGTATATGTATTATAGATTTACAAAATAATATAACTCTTACTTTTTTTAGTTAACAAGTTGAAATACTGATATGAGACTAGGGTAATATACGAAGAGAAATTGATGGTAAGCGATCGGCGACGCCCAAGAACACCTGCATCACTAAAGGACCAATGTGCCACATTTGGGGAGCATGGTTTTTAGAGTGTTTGTGGTTGTTTCACGCCATTTTGTGAGACCATGGTATCGTGGATATCCGGTTGAGTCGATCCATTCATGCCGAAGCTTGGCTCACCCAGACTTGAAGTTGAAGTTTTGTTCACCAAGCTAATTATAAAATGCAACTCAACTGCCTTCCCTTATTTTTTTATTTTGTTAGCCATATAAAATAGGCGACTTTTGTAAATTAAAATTGTTTAATTGTTTTATGTCAGGAACGAGCGCACCGCTATCGACAGATTGGAAAACGTAACTCACACAGTCACACGGATACTTGACGGATACGACATACGGTTGCGGCCCAACTTCGGTGGTAAGAACACAGTATACATAATAGTCAAGAATTACAATTAAAATAGTTATAATTAATCACCTATTCCAACAAACTTTTAATCTAATATTAGGATCCGTCGTCCTTGAACAGTTGAGCAATAATAATATTATCATTATTTGCACACGTCGTATCTAAACAAGCATACCACTGCAGTACAATTTAGAACGTGCAGTTAATATACTCGTATACATTTCGTATAATGCATATTATGCATATGCTACGAAGGTCCCGAGATGTGCTCTCTGCGACTGCAAGTTATTACGGGTATTGGACCATATTATTTGATATTTCGTTGAATTCGCTCGGTAAAGACGCGGCGGCCTGATTTGTCAGCGGTTTCCGCCGCATCAGCATGTCGGTTCGTTGCATAAATGTTATTGCTTTCCAGGAGACCCGCTCTATGTTGGCATGGATCTAACTATTGCTAGTTTTGACGCAATATCTGAAGTGAATATGGTAAGTTTTACGCTTTAAGATATCTGTAATCGCTCAACTAAACTGTGAGGTCATTGGAGACTATAACATGTTTAAACACATCAATCTTATGCTAAAAGCTGAGACTTTGTTTGTATGTACCTATCGTCTTCAGTCACGCATTAAATCCATCAGATGACCAAACATGCTCATAATTCTCACATATCCATACACATGTTTGTGTCACTCGCTTGATTGATGTGCTCGACTAGAGGAAACTGGCACTGGCTGTGGCAGACGACCACCTCCCGGTGTGACGACCTTGTCTGCACTCCTCCAGATCTGCTGAGGATGTTTTTTGGGTCGAATCAAGGACTTGTCGCTCTCGAGGAGGTCGTCCATCGTAATTCATTAAGCTTTTAATAGCTGCGGAAAGGGAGCAAGGCCGCGGTCACTTGACACACATCGAGGGTCGCCGGTGACCGAGGGGCGGAGTGCTGCCTCAGCCAATCGATGTTCGCCTTTACTTTCTACCGCCACTCGCCGCCTGTCGACGCAGAGGTCACCGCCCACTCACACTATCTTAAACATATATCTAACATTTTATAATCATTGTTCTATTTACAAAATATCACCATCCCATCGTCATCCACCATTACAAATGTAAGACATCTGTTACATTTCTCAACAGACTTTAACAAAACGCACTTCATTCTTTGAGTGTCTGCATGTATCACTTAATATATCACTGATGTCATATATGCAATCTGTAAAGGCTTTCAAACACTTACAGGATTACACAATAACCCTTTATCTGAATCAATACTGGAAGGATGAAAGGTTGGCTTTCGGCCTTCCGGATGAGGTATTGACGCTCTCAGGGGACTTTGCTGATAAGATTTGGGTGCCCGATACTTTTTTCGCTAATGACAAAAATAGGTAAGTACGGACAGGGATTTCGATACTTTACCAAGCCTTGTTTATTGCACTTTTGTTCAAGTAAGAATTAAGTAAAGTAAGTTTTTAAAATTAGTTTATTTTCCTTAAGTAGGTTTTTAAATTAGTTTCACTTTCTTCTGAAGAAGTGTTTGCTAGTAGTAAAACCACGAACTCAAAATTTTGTTTCGAAAAGAGCTTCTTCAAGTTACCAAAATCGTTAATAAACTGTTTTTTAATCCTTGAGATATTAGCATAAAGACAGTTTCTAGTGCTAGGTCAAGCACTAGCGTCAGCCAAGCTGCTTAAAGATGCCTTGACCTAATCATTTCACACCAAGACTACATTAAGCTGCTGCATTTTTATTACCGTATATTTTTTTTAATTCTTATGATTTCTGTAAGAAACTAACGTCGGTAAATAAAAAATAAGTTACTTGGCTGACAAATTAAATAGCAAATTAAAATGACCTACGAGTATTGCATACTTTTTGTTAATAGTATAATCAATTAAGATTTAACCAGTTTAGGATTGTTTGTTGTTGAGATGATCCTCACTCATATGGATAGTTGGTTAACAGGCCACTTGTCAATCTAGACCCCACGTTTAAAGATATTTTGACCTGCGATCACGTGATGTTTTGTCGCATGGTAAATTTATGTCGATAGTTTCCTGCACGACGTGACGGAGCGCAACAAGCTGGTGCGGCTCGGAGGAGACGGCAGCATCACGTACGGGATGCGGTTCACCGCGACCCTCGCCTGCATGATGGACCTCCACTATTACCCCCTGGACAGCCAGAACTGCACCGTCGAGATTGAAAGCTGTGTGACTCATACACTTGTAATACATCACCAGGCTGAGCTTGCCGCTTCGTGCTCGACCCGAACATCTTCGTCCTACACCGAGTCTTTTCGCAGACATTCGTCACTTCTTCTTTGCCCATAGATACATGCTCGAGCTTTGTACAGCCCTTAGCCACCTCCCATAACATTTTGTGGTTAAACCTACTAACAAGCCACAATAAATGCTCCTTGTTCATTCAAACCATACTCCCTGGCGATGCATTATATTTTTTTAGTAAATGACAAATTTAAAGAACTTTTCGAAATTAAGAATCTGGTATGGTATCGAGTCATTTGAATGGTCTGTTTGAAGTCAAACACACTTGCCAGTAATATCTTAAAACATAAATACAATAAACCCTCTTCATAATTTAACTAATTTTGTATGAGCGTTTCGTCAGAACAGTTTGCTGGCAGGTGTGATAAGTGGCTTTAAGACAGGCCAAATAGTAGCAGTATGCTAACATATGTTTCTCCATGCAGATGGGTACACTGTGTCAGATGTGGTGATGTACTGGAAGGAGACGCCAGTCAGAGGGGTGGAGGATGCAGAACTCCCACAATTTACTATACTTGGACATGAAACGAACGATAGAAAGGTAAGTACTAATATCAATAAAAATATACTACTTAATATTGAAATTGAACTTTTCATAATTCTTAGTTAAAAATGCAATGTACAAAACGAAGTGACCCGAGCTACACGAACTCAAAACTTAAACAACTTGTTAGTGTTAGCAACTAAACGCATCGTGGTACGATGAGAAACTTGCGCTAAGGTAACCACATATCCACTAAAGTTGGGACATTTCAGGAGAAGTTGGCGACGGGCATTTACCAGCGGCTGTCGCTCAGTTTCAAACTGCGCAGGAACATTGGATACTTCGTGTTCCAGACGTATCTACCCAGTATACTTATTGTGATGCTGTCCTGGGTATCGTTTTGGATAAACCACGAAGCTACGTCCGCTAGAGTTGCTTTAGGTAAGAAAAAGGTGTAAAATATAGCACTAATTAAATTCTCTACTTGAAATTGTCGCGATGACCCGACGGTTTATGTACTGCTCATGCATACATAAGGACGCGGGTCCGAAACTTATAAACTTGGTAGGTATCATTATGACTTTGTACAGTTATACCTATGCAGTTTCTAAGTTTATGTAGACACCGCTTACAAACGGTGAGTGTAAACATCGTGAGGAAACCTGAACTAATTTTTTTTTAAATATACCTTCATTGCCGTGTGAGAATAAATATTTGTTGAGCAGAAGACAATAATAGGCTGTTGATGATGATAATAATACTCGAAATTAGACTCACCAACAAAACTACTGAATAATTGCAATACCAAATACTACAAGTTTTGCTTGTTGGTATAAATAAATAGTATTTTATCTGCTTGCTCGTAGCGTTACAGATTCGTTTCTCACACAGAACTTTTCCTTGTACGCAACACGAAACTGTTACTTGGATGAGTTTTAAAAACAAATACCAATATTTTTATTAGGTATCACAACGGTACTCACGATGACTACAATAAGTACGGGAGTACGCAGCAGTTTACCTCGTATTTCCTACGTCAAAGCCATAGACATCTACCTAGTGATGTGCTTCGTGTTTGTGTTCGCGGCTCTGCTCGAGTACGCTGCCGTCAACTACACGTACTGGGGCGCACGAGCGCGGAAACGAGCCAAGTTAAAGAACAGAGACCAACTATCCACTAGCGCCAGTGTTGAAAAGGAATTGAAATGTTCAGGTAATAATACTAACTTGTATTGTACATATTTGATACAACAAGAAATGCCTAAGGGCTATTCGGACTCGCCTAATAAGTATTCCTTAGCAGCAAGTGACAATGTTTTACGATATATGACGTATTAAAAAAACTACGGCCTTTCGTTCAGTTTACGGAATGACAAAATTTGGCGCTTTGAAAGTGCTCTCCCACGTAAAAAATATATATAAGAAACCTCTATCATTTTTGAAGATTTTTGATTATCAGGTGGTATGGGTTTGTATAAAAAATCTTAATGTGGTTCTTAAAAGTCATCTACTTATCAAGGCCAAATGGTATATAACGGTTTCATCATAAAAATATTAAGATCAGCAGGTCAAGATATCATACATTATGTAGCAGTACTTACTATAGTTTCAAAGCTTAATACAGAGAAAAAAATAGTACATAATCAGACCAAAACCGACATTTAACTTTGTTATAACTAATAATTTTGCTAATAATAATTTAGTTGTCTGTTAAGGTACTATTACTTAAGTCGATTATAACCAATATTTTCGCAGGTTCACGTTCCCCAGAAGAAATAATTGCGCTGCGAGAGTGTGCAACGACTGCTGGTCGCGTGTCTCCTCTTCTTGGGCTACGGTCGAAACCGCTTCCAGCCGCCACCGGAGCACCCCCGTCCTTACGACTACAACGCGACCACACCCAGCTACGATACAGAACAAGGCCCCATTCTAGAAACTCCAGAAGTACGTTAATATTGGAATATAAAGATACTAAAATGGCAAATATCAAACACATCTGAGCTTTGCCCAATGACTAGTAAAGGATACGATAGATAAAGGACTAACAATAGGTTCCAGTATTGGTGTTAGATTCTTTTTTTTGCGTACTTTTTCATGTATCATGGTGCGTATACTCAACACTAAGGCACGCCGCTGATTGCATCTCACTCTGTCACCGCGACTTTTTGTCACTAAGTTGAGTGCAGTGACGATATAGGAGAATGCGCTCACTGAGGTGACATGACAATACGGTGACTAATATTTGCAATGTGACTGTGTTTGTTACTACCGATAGGATTCGGTTCACTAGTGACTTTAATTTTGTTTTTTCTGCTCATTTACAAATGCTTGTGATTTGAAGTATCTAAGGGTCAGTCTTACAATAATTGTATAGTTTCGTTGTTCGCATAATCAAAGTGATCTTAGGTGACAGTAGGTAACAGTAACAATGTCATAAAAAGTCTCATTCAGCGGTGGGCTTAGTCCAAACAAGGAACAAGTTATAATGCGGTAGTTTTCCTCTTCATGCCCACGTGACGTAAGTCACGTTGCAGATTGTATTCTAGGAACTCCCGTGACCTGATGGCAAGTGTAGTAACCTTGATTGCAATATATCGTCAGACAAATTATACCAAAGATTGTTGTCTTAAAACGGAGACTTCCTCTACTAGTGCCAAGCAATTTGCTGTGCATTGAACTGACACGACTGGTTTATACACTATCTAAACATAGATACTTCATACTCTTACCAGATGATATTATGTTGTGGTAACGGTAAAATTGCCAAATAATTATAGATTTTTTTTAATGACTTATGTTGACCAATAAGAACGCTTATTGATCCTCGAGACATTATAAAATTATTTCAATATATTTGACAATTAGATTTATTTTCCCAATTATATTTTTCTTTTGCAGACGGATCAACGGGAAAACCCAAAGTAATGCACGCACTCCGTCGAGGCGCGACCGTCATAAAGGCTTCTATGCCGAAGATAAGGGACGTGAATGTCATAGACACGTACTCACGAGTCGTGTTCCCGGTCTGTTTCCTTCTCTTCAACGCCGTCTACTGGACCTTTTATATTTTCGATTGAATTTTCCAAAATAATAAACAATATCCGTAATAGTGTTCTATCAAATTGTCACCCTACTTGTAATTAACCTAACGAATTTATGCGATATTTATTAAAAAGTATTATTTTACGTTTTGTTAGAAATTTATTCAATACTTTATTATAAAGTGAATGGATGTTAATGTTAATATTTTGTGGTTATATTATTATCGTGATGTGAACAAGAGATTAAGAATATTACTTATAATAAAAATGGACTTTTATGTTTTGGAATCGTATGCAGGTTCATTTAATGAACTTTGATGATTGATGATAAATAATATAGAAGGTTAAATGATACTGTTTCTATGAAGGAAATGTGCCAAAAAAATCTATTTGTAGGCCAAAGGAAAAATGCGAATGATACTGGTTAGTTTGAGTTGGGAACATCACTTTTTCTAATGATGAGTCTAAAAGCAAATACAATTTAATCTATGGTGTACAAATGTCGATGTTCAGCGATTTAAAACTAGTAGTTTTGAATGTGAGTAGATAAATAGAATATCGCAATGTTATTATATTGAAACTGCCAATTTTATGTCTATAAGAATTTAAAAAAAAATGTCTAATTGTTTTATTAAAACTTCGCTTGTCAGACAAGACAAATATAATTTAAAGGTAAGATGCCAGTGCCAATAAAGTAATAAAAAAAAATACTGTCATTTTGACATTTATTATGTCAGTTTAGATAAGTCAAGAATTCTCAAAGTCATTTCCTATCTTCAATTCTTTTTATATAGGATTAAATGATGTAAGATAGACATTTCCAAGATCGATGTAAATAAATTAATTATAGAATGAACGTGGTAAATTATACAGTAGCAACATTGATGTTATATATTAGAGGGAGATAGCAAATTATAGCTTATTTAAGACAATGTTGTAAAATAAAATTTATTAAAAAAATATTTGTTTTATTTTTTTCGGTAATTTAACCCTATGTTGTTTTCAGATCAAGCCCGATGGAGTAAGAGTTGGAGGTACCTACACAAATCAGTACATAATTTTATGTCTTTTAATTTGTAAAGGTTAGGTAGAGGGGTTGCGGGTTAAGCTCAATGAGTCACCGCCGCCTCGGGTTTTTAGTCAGTAAGAGTCTGACACTCTCTCTCGCCTTCCCATGGGCAGGAGAAGCCATACGATGAATCTCCCCTAAAGAAAAAAAAGGCAGCGGTATATTTATTGACTTCACAGCAACTGACTTCTATACAAAGTGTCTCAAGATTGATTTAAGTAAACAAAGTTATTTATGTTATCTGCAAATTGTTATTCCGAGATAAGCGGATGTAAAATTAAAATAATAGCACCCACGTAACAAAAGAACACCTTAGCGTAGGGTCATATTTATAAAAAAATACTACTTTTCAGGGGTCGTGTGAGTCCTATTTCTGCTTTGGCTTTACTTTGTAATACTGACTAAAGTAATACATATATCAACAAATTACGATCCACAAACAACGTCTATAATAATCTACATCTACAAAATTTCTTCAAATAAGTTTGTGGTTACAACCCTGAGAGGCTGTATTTTGGTTGGAACGCTACTCACGCCATCTACATTTTCCTCATGTCAAAACTTACGAAAGCACCAAGCTTGTTCAGTGATTTGCCACCCTGCAAACATTCATGGTTTTTAAAAGCTTCTGTTTGAGAGTTGTTTACAAACTTTCAAGAATTGCGAGAGGATGTCGCTTCCGTTCCGAGTCAAAATAAAAATGAATTCCTCTATAACACGAAATTATTATTATCTACTCATTAATTTTCAAAGATTTTAATTCTTGACAATGAAATATATTATAAGATTAGTATTATAAGACATAAAACCATTTTTAGTAGAAAGACGAAGACTAAAGTGCTGGCCACAAAGAATACTAAATGGCGACGACAAGAAAATTGGCGCCAAATATTAAAAAAGATTTCATTTCAATTCGTTTAAAAAATACACTAAAGAATGAAACAAATACATATTTATTTAAAGTACTGCGAAAAAGTGGAAGACGGCCTTATCACCTTCAATAGCTTCAGATCTCAGTAAATAAATTTTGCAACTGCTTACCTACAAGTAAGTATGTTAGTTGCTATGTAAATAGTTACCATTTTATTTAAATAAACGTTACACAAAAACACTGTAAGTACGTGGCATTTATATGAGTAAAGGCTCTTCCGGACTATGTTCGATTCAAATCGAGAAAAGAGAGGTCTAAGAAAACACGGTCATAATTCGATTTTTCTTGAAAGGAATTGGATGACAGATGATGGATGTAGTGTGTACACGAGCATAGAATGGTTCTAGCACTATGATGGACCATATTTTCATCAGTTCGAATAGCACGTAGTACGGAAGCACTTTTAGAGAATTACCTAATGTTCTTATTAGTTTTATAACAAAAACAAATCACTCGGAGGGCTAGGCAGAGAGCAAACACCAACTTTTACTAGTTATCTTATGATCCAATGGACAATAGAATGAGCCTATTATAATATACCGTTCCCATACTATTATTTAGTGTTTCTACATTTATAAATGATGGACCTATTAATTGTAGTCTTGTCGAATGACTGTGATCATTAGCGCGAGACTAGTATTAGATATTTTAGTGTTATAAATAGTATTGCGATCAAAAGTTAAATGAGAATATACTTTTTAGTTATTTATAATACGTGTACATTCTTAAGATTACATCCCAAAGCATTGATACATTTCACATTTGTATTATGTAATTCAATTAAGTATTACTTATTAAGGTAGTAACTATTACGTTATTCATAAAATGTATTTCGTATGAATAGAAAATAATAATAAGTAGCTGTTATGATGGTGAATGGATTCAATCAAAGTATTTATTGTACTTGTATGACCTATTAATGAATCGAATGGGGCTTCATTGCCTGTAAACAGCTCTCTCTTTTACATAATTAGGTTGAGTTTCACCAAGGCGTTTTTGTTTCATCGGAATATTGAAATATTTAAAAATAGATTGACACGTAGGCATTTTTGTCTGCATTAAACGATTTCAAATTAAGACATGAAAAAAAGCTCAAAATGGTTTAACAGAAAAACTTTGATGAAATTACCAACTATATTTATAAGCACTTTATTTTCATAGAGCTTTATTCACAGTAGGCGATACAATACAAATGTAGGGGAGCGTTGAAAGAGATTTTATATAGGCAAGGTAGCAAGGGGCGGCGGGTTCCATTCATCGACGAGGCGCAGACTGCGCGGGGCGCCAGCGCGGGGCGCGGGGAGGGACGAGGCTCCAGATCACCTAGTACCTATCCCAGTCGCGCGGAGAGAGCACATCTCAAGGGTGCTCCGTCCATTAATAAGAAAAACCAAAAATAAAAACAATTTAGTGCTTTCAGGTACTGTGTAGTGATTGCGCGAGTGCTTCGATTTGGAACCCTTGTTATAGTGCCAACTGTGCGTCTAGTTTCAGGATATTATGTCACAGCCATATACGTTTTAAGGTACACAAGAATTTAAATTATTTATTTTAAAGTGCTAAGAATTATTTAAAAGGACGAGGTGGTCAATTTATGAAATATTGAAATGCAAATCGAATAGCAGTGCTTTTAAGCTTAAATTCAGTACGTTAAATTTAAAAATATCCATCGAATAATGAGGCTTTCAGTAAGGTTTTTGGACACAGTATTAATGTAATGAATGGAGAATATGGGGTTTTTTCATGAAATTCAGCATTTGACGTCGTAGCTAGTTTCATGGTCAGGCCCGTGGGCGGTTGGAGGTGTTGAGTTTCGAGCTCTCAGAGGGCGCAGGGGAAGGTGCGCGGCGCGGGGGCGGGCGTGGGCACAAGCCTCCGCGCATTTCACCCCCTCCCTGTATTGATCGCTCAATTTTCAAACGTATTTCCTAAATATTGTCACCATAAAACGTTAATATCTATAAAGTGCAACTGCGCTGCAATACAGACTGAATACCTAGTCGAGATTGAAGTGTAAAGGTAGGTAGGTAGTGTTGATGCCTTCACACAACGTGTCCGTTACGAAAGTGATTTGATGACCAGTGCTTTCATGGAGTGATAGAACACATAGATAGTTGATTCATTCAATTGCAGGGTGTGTAGTGTGATTGCTATTATTAGTCAAGTTACCGTGATCGTAAGATTTATGCGCCACCATGAGTCGGATAACACGTAGCTGCTAAAGTGTGTGCGACAAGGACGCAAGATGAGCCAATAGAGCCTATTTTTAGAACCAATACGAATTAATTTAATGAAAGTGCTTGATGAAAGCCGTTTTTTTAATGCTGCTTGGGGATCATCGATCCTTTAATTTGAAGTGCTTTTTAAACGTCACGGGATTTAGAATATGTTATTAATTGACTAAATTATTAATCATTTTATATTTATAAGGTTCGTTATCTGTGTGATATGATGTAATCCAAAAATCTAAGGACTGGATCCTAGAGTTCATAAATCATAGGTACATACTAAAATGTTTAAATGAAACATATAGGCGTAATTGCGTCAGCTTGCATATGGTCTTCGACTGCGTCATAGCTTGCTATGCTATCATAATCTGGAGAAATAATAAGAGTAAAATAATAACTTGGACATTTGTTGAGCTTACAACAAAGCCCAGGACATTCTAACTGCGTAGAATGCGCGGTTTCGTGCGTCGTGAATGAAAACCAGATCAACAAGTAGCTACTAACATTGGCTTTCTATCGCGCCTGCGTGTCATAAAATCTTAACAATTTCCAATATGGCCGCTTTATGGACTATGACTTAAATCTTACAGCAATATCATGTAAAATAGAAATATTACAGACTAAAGGCAAACAATATTACCTGCATTAGTGCCCGCATCCTTTTCTGAAAGCAACTACTTCGTGTCTTTGGGCTTCGTGAATGTGCGCTCACAGTTATGCTTTTACAAGCACTACGCCCTTACCATATGATATTTAGGATTTGCTAGAATCGTCCATTAATACCACTACATCGAAAGGCCTGTTTCACAGTCACTGAATAGCATAACCCGATTAATTTGAATAAGAAATGTTGTTTGTATGAACTATGTGGCCACAATGGTTTATCGGGAACTTATACGGTGGTTTTAAAACTAGATCATTGTTGTATATAGGGAGATAAATATCACTTTTATACAGACGAAACGGTATGTTACATTTTGTTGGCGATCGTTAATTATAATAAACTAGGGACCCGCCCCGGCTTCGCACGTGTAGGTACAATGCCGATAATTAATTTCTGCACTAAAAAACGACTTTGTCTTCTATAGTAAAACAAATATGAGCATATATATTTGAGCCATGCTTCGGCACGAATGGGTCGGCTCGACCGGAGTGATACTACGGCCTCACATAAAACCGGTGTGAAATAACCACTGCGTTGTGTTTCGCCGTGTGAGTGAGGTTACCGGAGGCCCAATCCTTCCCCTTCCCCAATCCCTCCTCAATCCCTATATCTCGGTAAAAGGTAAAAGGTCGGCAACGCACTCGTAACTCCTCCGTTGCGAGTGTCCATGGGCGGCGCTGATTGCTTACCATCAGGTAATCCGTCTGCTCGTTTGCCGACCCATTACATAAAAAAAAATATTAAAAACAAAACAGTAACGATGTAGTTTCTTCCTCGTTCTTTTCCATTCGAATCTAAAATTTCGAATGAGCACCAAGCTTCAGTGACGAATAGACTGAAAGACTACTATTCTATTTTGACGTTTCAAAAGAGGTACTTGTCAATTTATGGTTTAGTTGGAACAAATGATATTGACTTTGAGTTTGACTACTATTAAATGGATGTTGTTATGCATATAATATACCCCTCAATCACTCTATTAAAAAAACGCATCAAAATGCGTTCGCGGGATGGAGCAAGCGACTTTGTTTTATACTATGTAGTGATTAATACAATTATAATAATATTGCAAGTTCCTTTTAGCAAATAATGCGCACCTGGTTTCTTCCAAGGCTCCTTTTACATCTGACAAAAAATACGTTGAGCTTATCATTTGTGTGCGCTCTATTCATCAACTCAACAACGGTTAGGTGTGATAAGTTGAATGTATACTTGTCTATTTTGGTCTTTTGTCTGTGGTTTAATCATCCATTTCATAAATTGGTTGGGGCGGGAGGGAGTGGTGGTCTCTTACTGACTAGTAACCATTCCTTCTCCTAATTCCTAGCCTAGCCTAGCCTAGGTACATTATTGCACTTTAACCCACAACCCGTCAACGTCTGGCGTGGTGGTGTAGAGGTGTAGATTGCGAATTGACAATGCGTTAGGTGCGAGTAGTAGTAGACTACAACGGGTTTTGACTACGTAGTAATAGTTAACCTGATCTAATCATTACAACCAGACCCGAGCGTACGGCGCGTAGCGTTCCTCGCGCGCCTCAAAGAGCCAATAGACCACCACAGACTGGGCCCTATAGAGCTGATGTTCAGCCAGGATTGCGGGGTAAGCGCAATGAGGCACCGCGGCCCACAGCAGGAGAAGGAACAGGGGAGTTTTTAGTCAGTAAGAGTCTGACACTCCCTCCCGCTCGGCACTGTGCGGGAGAAGCCATTTGTTGATTTTCCCAACACAAAAAAAAACCGTTAACGTCTGTTCTGGCATTACGCGACCCAAGGATACACGACCTTTCTGACAGATGGGAATGGACCTTTAGAGATAACAATTATAATTGACCCCTCTACACTTTGCTATCACTTCTGGAAATATAAATAAATCGAATACAAAGCTGTCTCTACTGAGATTTGAATTACTCGCTTAAAAATATATACACACATACAAACATTCGTGTCGCCCATGTCCTTTCAGGGTAGGCAGAGATTACTCTCTCACTTTTCTACATCTATCAATCTATTCATACGTGCTTATTGATTGAGGATGGTTTTTATTTGACCTTTTTCCAAAATATTATTTGATCATCAAAAACTCTAAAAAACTTTACTTCATTTCAATACTACGAACCTAGTATTAGTCAAGAAGTCAGTGCCAAGACTCTTAAATAAAATTATCCTTTAAAATCTAAAAAGGTACTTACAGTAAGCTGTTTACAAGTGTGTATAGCATCCTCATTTTGTTATGGGCTTCTACAGACTTCTTAACTATAATGGGTAATAAGTAGTACCTATACTTATATATTGATTAATTATACTTCATTATTAATGAATGTATGATAGTCATTTTTTTGGTTTTTGATACAGCGTTTTTAAACACACTTTATGAATTCTTGTTTCTGTTTTTCAATTAGCCTGATAAAACCTAATCCTTTTCAAATTCTATTCTCGACCCACATACACATATAATTTTGAAAGGATTTTCTTTGAATTCCTATCCGTTGAGGAATTGCATCTTCTATCATCAGCTGATCCACATGAAACGATTACTTATTGAATAAGTTTATGGACTTACTAAAACTACTAGAGACTTCATAAGTACTTGTGATTTGGGGGTCGCTCTTGATTTCTCTGTAATTTCATCATTTGATCTTTAGTAGATAAATTGTGTAAAGTTTCTAAGTCAATTACATAAAATAATATGTCCAGCCGAACAAAAAAAAAAAACAATTACTCATATCAGATCACAACTACTTTAGTTATTGAGCCAGAGCTATGGGGCAAACGTAACAAGGTACCGTGGCTTTTAATACAACTTGCAGAAAAAGGAACTGGGTGGTTTTAGTCAACAAGACACACACACAACTCCCTCTCAGTCACCTCACCTAGGACGAGACGGACAGAAAATCATAAGTTCTTCAACTTATGATTTTCTTCCTCCCTTAAAAAACTTAGGAGCAAATAGCAGAAATTCCATGTCGAACAAGAATCACGTAAATTTGTCCAAACTTACATCGTTATAACTTATACTTATGCATTTTTTTGTCAGGGGAAAATCATCTAATGACTTTTCCCGCCCAGGGTAAGGCGAGAGAGAGTGTCAGACTCTTACTGACTAAAAACCCCCCAGTTCCTTCTCCTGCTCTGGGCCGAGGTCGCGGTGCCTCATTGCGCTTACCCCGCTACCCCGGCTGAACATCAGCTATACAGGGCCCCGTCTTTGGTGGTCTATTGGCTCTTTGAGGCGCGCGCGGAACGCTACGCACCGTACGCTCTGGTCTGGTTCTGTTCGGGCGGCGAGCTACCCTTACTCGCCGTCCGCAGACCTGCGCTTACGGTGGCCGGAGATCATTTCTCGATCCCCGACGCCAGGAATGTCGTCTGTCATCAAAAATTTTTATAACATTTGGGTTGACGTGCAATATGAGGTAAAATGTGGTTTTATGTGTAACGGTGTGTTTGGTAAAATAAATCAAACACAATATGGGTCGGATTAATTGAAAAACTCGAATTTGTGGTAAGAAAATCATGTAATGACTTCTTCCGCTCTGGATGGGGCGATACGGAGTGGTCCTCCTACTCCTTAAGTAACTTAGGACAAGATAAAAAACCACGTAAATGATAGCTACAATCCGGGTATCTTTAAGTCAAGAGTGAATAGGTTACTTCTAGGTAAGCGCACTCCATCGTCGACCGCATCGTCGGTTTCCATCAGGTGAGATAGCGGTCAAGCGCGAACCTATAATTAATAAAAAAAAATGCATGACATACATGTCTGATGCATGACTAGGTTGGTCAAAGTAGGCTAGCAAGATAGGTTTACGTACCCAAAACCTAAGATATATTAAAAACCTAGTCTGAATGTTTTTAATTCTTCAAATCACACTAAGACAAGATGTCGTCTCATACCAAAGCATGTTCTTACGTGGGTCGTGATACTTGGGAGCTTGCGGACGAAATTCTTTTTGTTTTAGTTTGAATAAGGTGGTGTTACAAGACACACGTGTGTTCGTTTCCTGTTCGTAATATTATTTGAGTATTTCTGTGAGATATCCTAATTCGGTATTGTAAAGTTTAGGTAGAATGTGTTTATTTATATTAATAATAATAATATAGCTTATCAAATCGATACAAATATGCTGTAGTTTGTTTGATTGAGCGCGCTATCTCCGAAACGACTGGTTTCAAGTGAATAATTCTTTTTGTGTTTGTTAGTCCATTTATCGAGGAAGGCTATAGGCTATAAAACATCACGCTACCATCTGAAGTAGCAGAGCAGCAGGTGAAACCGAGCGGGAGTAGCTAGTCGATATAAAAAAGAGAGTAGGATTTTTTTAAATTTTAGATTTTAAATTTGTAATTTTCGTGGGAAAGTTAATAAAATACAGATAAGTAGCGTTATCTGTATTTTATTAACTTTGGATTGGATTGGATTGGATTTGCCACGTTTTATTTTTCTTTTAAGTATAAATATAGTGTTGTTACATGTTTTAACAAAACAGATTAAGATTTTATGTATGTTTATTACAACATTACGCCATTTATTACAGAATTAAGCTATTATTTGATCTAAAAATTGTTGTTCTGCATACAATAATTTATTAAAATTATGCTTCTTATTATAATATAGCTCAGTTGTTTGGTTTTTGTGTAAGCTGTAGGTTTAAATTTATTTTATTCGTCTGTTATATGTATTGTGTAGTAAGAACCGTGAACACCACTGTTGTATTGGCAATATTATACTGTAATGATAGTGTGCATGTTTAACCCGTGGTATGATCCACGCGAGACACATTGTGCTTTCTATTGTTTGTCATATAGCGGCAGACAAGAGGTTAATAAAAAAAATAACAAGAGTTTTACTGTGGAATGGACATAGATCTGATCAATTTTCATTTTGCTACGTCAGAGTGAAGGCGTCGAGTGAGCTGATTGTGTCGGCACGTCATGGTGGCCCCGTCGCGGGTGACCGGCCGCGCGGCCAACCAAGTCACCTAAAGGAGCCAGGCTCACCGCTGCGCCGCCGCTACCAACACCATGCCTGCGCCGCTCCTCGTATACGTCACTTGCTTCACCTTTCTCTGGATATGTGGTACGTTAACTTCCTATGAACTCAAGTTATCAATGAAACCGGCACTCTATCTCTATTTTCCCTTATTAGACGACCTTTCGTATATACCAAACACACACCTAGGTACTGTATTTCTTGCATTCATGGTATAGACTATGCAAGTGTGCCAGTTAGGAGGTCATTTTAAAATGTGATATAATTAACAGTAAAACATTTTAATCAAGCTGGGCTTTCCAAATTCGAATTAGATATTACTGGCATAAAAGAAAATACATATCATTCTTAAATAAACCTGCACTCAAAATATAAAGCCCAAATCGTAAATAAGCGAAACTCATCCTTGGTAGCTTCGTGTGAGCATTGACTAATTTGCTGATTGATCTATTATTTTTCTATACATACATATATGTATAGTACATTCTCTTCTTGCATTATGTTTCATTAACACTATATAATATTGTCCTGCTACAATTATTACATAGTATCGCATAGTTCACTCAATCATATTTCAGGAAATTTATTCAGAAACATTTTTTTTCTATTAGCAAAAGCGGATGATCCGTCGCCAGTGTTGGGGGGCGCGCGGCCAGCTAATGGCACCGCGGAGCCCCCCGACCTGCGATCCCCAATGGGCCGAGTCCCACAATATCAACCACCTGGCTTGGGACCTGGGGGCTTGGCCCCACCGCAGAGCTTTTGGCCTCACAATCCGCATACGCGCGTCGAAACCTGGCACCGTAAGTTTTTCTTAATAAAATAATAAAAATAAGAAAGGCATGCATGCATGAATTTGCTTCTGAGGGATTGAAACTTGGTCAATGCATCATTTTAATCAGGACTCAGGAATCAGGTATCCTAGCAACTCTTTATATAGTTTAGACTAACAGTGTTCTCGTATTCGCAGACCGTCCCGCCTACACTCGCATACACACAGTATCTCACGACTCCGAGTTGGATGACCACCATGTCGACGTTGACGCAAACTGCCACCAGCCTTGTGCTAAACAACAATTTTCGTGTCAGGTAAAATTCGAAGGATATAATACGCCAGGGAATATTTGTACAAAAAATATTTTTTTTCTTTATGGGTAGATTTAATTTACAAATACTGATGGAAGCAATGTCGGATTAAGCAAGTAAGAGTTTACAGGTTTCGTTTCTCGAGCAAATGGGCGAAAAAATTAGTTATTAATTGACTGAATTTAGTATGTCTTAATCCAACACTGGCTACAATATAATAGTATTGTATATGTTTATATGGGCCTTCGATGCCTGAAATAAATGGATAAATAGATAAATAAATAAAAAAAAATATACAATAACAGATTTATTTTAGAACAACGCCCCTAAACAAATATTCTATTACAGAAATCGTGCACCTGTATACCAATAGAAAAGCGCTGTGACGGTAGAGTGGAGTGTGCCGACGCAGAAGATGAGAAGAACTGCACTCCAGCTTGCGATGAGAATCAGAACCGTACTCTGTGCCATAGCACCAGCGTCTGCATCAAAGAGGAGTGGTTCTGTGATGGAGACAACGACTGCGGCGACTACTCCGATGAAACCCATTGCGGTAATACATTGTGTTACTATACTGTGTATATCTATATATATAAATATCACTACCACTTTTCGTTGTAATGTTAAAACTCAACAATACCTTAGCCGATTTGGCTGATTTTGGTCTTGAATTATTCGCGGAAGTCCGTTTTTACGAAGGGAAAATTAAAAAAATCTTGAATAAGTGTGAAATCTACGTAGCGAAGTACGTACCGTAAGCAGTACCGCTAGTAGAATATATGTTCAATAATTCTATTTTTTAACCTTTCCAAATCATATTTGTTAATTTAATATTTAATGAAACAAAACAATGAAGCAATGAATTTATTTTTGCAAATAGGCCATAAAACGGCACTTTTACACGTCAAATTACATGTGAAAAACTAGATGAACTATTTGTTAGCACAGCTTAATAATCAACTTCTAATTTGCAACTTTTCAATAATTGTTGTTTTCAAAAATTCTAAAGTCACAGTGCGTTCTAGAAAATGAATCTCCTTAATCGGCTATTAAATATCAAAACAAATGCAGCTTAGGTTGAATCTTGTACGAATTACATGTCTGTATCATTACAAACTAGCAAGCCACTTCCGCTTCGGACGGATCCAATGCTGATACAAAATGTCTCCATTTAATGGATGTTATTATTCGTATAAACCTTCCTCTACAATCACTCTATCGATTAAAAGAACGCATCAAAATGCGTTGCGTAGTTTTCAAAATTTAAGCATACTTAGGGATGTAGATACAGAGAAAGCGACTTTGTTTTATACCTTGTAGTGATGGATAGAGGTGAAGATATAGAAAATAAAGAGTGTTTTTTTTAACAGGTGGGACAATGAACTGTACATCGCAGCAGTTTCAATGTGCTAACGGACTGTGCATCCACAAGGACTGGGTGTGTGACGGCGATAACGACTGTCGAGACAACTCCGATGAAAACAACTGCATCAAGGGCAAGTAAGTACATCATATTTATAAATCACGTTACTATCTGTGCGTTGAATGCCTGGTTGCAAGTACTAGAGCTGAAAATAATTGGGTACTTTCCTAGGTCAAAAATAAATTAATTCGATGTTTCAATACTATAAAATATTGAAAAATAAGTAACTATACTTTTATTCATCGATCGATCGATACACCAAGTTTTAGATTTTTTTAGCTAATTATTGTGAAATAAGTAAGCTATTTGACGCAAAAATGTAATGACGTCATAGCTCAGTTTTTCATACAAATTTCATAGAAAAGTATCGTTTTTGACGTTTGGATAAAAGTATTGAATTTGACTAGTTGGAAACTACCGTATTGCGTATAATTTCGACAGCGTCGTAGAAAGTGAATTATTATTTATCAATCAAATAGGTACATTTTAAGTTTTACGATGTATATAAATGTCCGACAAAACTAGGTATACACATATTTTGTCTGTCGGATCAAAAGATATATAAAATTATAATTTATATTAGCGACCCGCTCCGGCTTCGTAAGGGTACAATACTAAAAATAAATTTCTCCACTATTTAATGGATGTTATTATACATATAAACCTTCCTCTTCAATCAGGCTATGTATTAAAAAAAACAGCATCAAAACCCGTCGCGTTAAGATTTAAGCATACACAGAAAAAGCTACTTTCTAAGGAGTTCTTCGCTGTAAAAGTATCAATGAAACATGTTCATTTTTAAAATAATTTATACGAACACAATTTTAGAACGTATTACACCTTACTTAATTTCATTTGAAAAAATTAATAGCTACCTAACATTGCATTACTTAGAAAACCACGACCGCATTTCTCCTTTAAAGAAACAGGCTCGCGGATACAATCATAGCTTCTATATAGGTATATGTCTATGGCATCCCCTACTGACAGATGACGTCATACCGTATAACCACCAGATTAACTGCGTCATTGGTGTTTGCACAGGGAAGGGGGGAGGGGGGGTGACCGATTTGATCGACGGCGAAGCTACGAAAGCTATTACACCTACTAACTTGATTCAAAGAATGTTACGTTTGCTATACCTACTTGTATCATTGAAGTATGATTTAAAAATAACGAGACAATTGACGACCGTTTTTGTGATGGTTTCTTTTGTGAACATAGATATACATTTTATTACTGGATAGGATTTTAAATATATCTTTTCTACAAAATGTACAAAAAGAGGAATCAAAGTAAAAATATCCGTTAATTTTTCTCTAAGCTATTGTTGTTTATATAGTAGACTTTTAATATTGTCGTCTAAGAAAATAATGCTTAGATAAAATCAATTTAAATTTAGGAGTGGAAAGTCACTCGCGGACGCCACCGCTCAGCATAAACTGTGTCGATTCGTGAAACCATTTAAAATATCACGTCATGTATATACCGTCTTTGATTCCGTAAGAAAATAAAATATGTTTGCATTAGGCATTTATTTTTTATCGTTTTAATAATGTAAAACACGGGCATTACAATAAAAAATATCATTGTATTAAATGTTTTATAGCCACATCTTTATTATAAGATATGTACATAAATAGGTTATTTAAGTTTCAACGTTAAGATGGACGTCAGAGGCTTGGGCGTAACGACAATAATGATTCGGCAAAAACCTTGTAATGTGATCTGATTACAAAACAACACATAAATACGCAATAAACGAAAAAACAGAGATATAAATAATTAGCCTAATTAGGTTGTTTTCTTGTGTATCAAGTGTCTAGTAGGCGGAAGTGTAGTTAACAATAAACCATCTTGTGTAAACGTCATTAGTTCTTATTTAGGTACCTACCTACGTTTGAAAAGCGACCTACGTGTTTTATTAATAGGCTCCGATTGGCTTGCAGCCTACGCAGAACAAATTGTTTAGAGCCGATGCACTAAGCTTGTCGTTACCTGATAATGTCAGATTTGTGACGCAAGTACAGGTATTTGGTTTCCATAAATGTTTATGGTTAACTTAAGATCAATCGATACAATTTTAGTAGTGTACCTGGCAAGTACTAAGGAGAGTCTTTCCGAGATATAGGAAAAAAATGTGGGGACAACTCGACTTATTTCAAATTATATGTTGAAGATTTTTGATCCGCCTTGAGCTAGCGTGATTTTTTTCCATGTGCGAAGAGGCTTCTGCCGGCCAGAATACGTTTCATTCATATGGCAAACTATTTAATTTTGTAGTTTACCGGTGTCGACATGTTAATAACTAGATCATTTAAATGTCCCGAGATTGGTTGGACTGAAAATTATCAGTCCTAATTTTCTTCTTAATACCTATAAAGCGAACAACAGTACGTTCTGGTCATTTAAAAGGTTGAAGACTTGTGGGCCTAATAAGGGAGAAATATTAATATTTATAAAATGGTCGTTTTTTTTTAAAGGGTAATGAGGATAAAAACAGAGACTCTATTAGAAGCATATTGTTTCCATTTTAATATTATTAGATTCTAATTTATTATTCTATGATCAATCAAAGTGAAGTTACATTGATAGTAAATAATAGGGCAGACCTTATGCATATGCTTGTTTGAGTTCTTGAGCATATTGCTGATGCTTTAATGTCCTTAATCGAAATTAACAATATAAATAGGTAGTGTTGTGTTCAATGCCTGGTTATTCTCTCAAGATATTTCTCTCAAGTGTTTTTAGTTTGTATAATTAATCTTTGAATATCGATTACCTAAGACGTGAGAATACCAATTACCAAAATATTAAAATATCGATTTTAAATAATCAAACGAAAATTTTTATTTATGTCTTATCGGAAAACTCAAATCTCAGAACTTAAACCTTTTGACAATACTGAAAACCCCAGTCCAGTCCCATAGAAGCGTTTAAAAAGTTTAGGCGGGACTTTCAGGATTTTATTTTACACTGCGCGGTACGGGCTGTAGCGGTCGGTAGATCAATACGTCGGGGGTTGGAGAGGAGGGGTATGAGGCGCGCGGGGAGCGCGGAGGCGGAGGCTGGGACCAGGTTTCCATGGCGACGCGCCTACGCTCCCTACGTCCCTAGAAGGAGAGTCGCCCGATATATACCAGTTCCGTGGGCGGGCTCATTATAGAACAAATTCATCGACGTGATTAACATTACTGGTACACCTACAGCAACTTGGTGACGCTAATGTGACGTATGATTCCATTTCAGTTTTTACTTTGGTCACCATACCTAGTACTACATGCTGTATGAGATTTTAAACATCTTAAGCATTATTTCAATGCATTTTACTACAAAAACATAAAAATAAATTTACGTAGAAAATTACATTCTTCATTTTGAACAAGTATTGCAACCACCAAATGCTATTAAAGCTACATTCATTTTGCTACGAAACGCTACGGAACTACAATTCTGAATTGGTATATGACTGCTAATCTTCTCTAATCTAAATCTGTCAATAGCTATGTAGTAATGTGACCACACTTCATAATATGGAAAATTAGTTTTGTATGAAGATAGGCCTAGATTAATCACACATGGGAAAAACAAGTAACCAAGAAATTTCTTGTTTGATCTTCTCATAAAAATCTACACTTTGGTGTGCTGATGTGTCTTTACTAAGGGCAAATATAGAAGAAACATATCTATCGAGACACATTTTTTCTATATTTGTCGCAATTTCTTATGATTTATTCATTAATCGTTAAAAATTGTTTTTTTAAAGACATGCCCGAATAGTTCTGTACCATTTCTCTTGTACACAGATGTCGAGAGCATCAGTTCATGTGCGCGATTGGGGAATGCATATCTAAACATTGGCGTTGCGACAAGGAAGCTGATTGTCCTGATAGCTCTGACGAAGCTGATTGTCGTAAGTCATTCTTTATTAATTTTCCTCTCAATGGAAGTCTTTCTTCGATTTGTTACTTCCAAAAAAGTCAAAAGAGGATCTACTAGCAAGATTAACAAGTATAGTTTTCAAATAAATTCTATACTTTTATGCCTATAGCTGTGGATCTTTTGCGGTGTGGTGAGAATGAATTCCAATGCGACAACAAGAGATGCATTCGCAAAGATTTCCAATGCGATGGTGATAATGACTGCGGTGACTGGACTGATGAAGACACGTGTCCTATGCTGCCTGGAAGCTGTAATGCTGGAGAGTTCAGGTATGATACCACTCACTTATACTTAAACTTTCGCCTTGCATATTAACCCGTAGTATGGAGCGCGGATCCACGTGAGACACAATGTGCTTTCTATTTTTTGTCATATACCGGCAGACAAGAGTAATAAAAATAATTTTCTTAAAACAGATGTAGCGATGGCAAATGCATACCAGATCGCTGGCGGTGTGATACTGAAAGAGATTGTGCTGATAGTGGCGACGAACTCAACTGTGAACCAAACTCCATGCGAAACTGCACCGATGACGAGTTTACTTGTGCTGATCGACGATGCATTCTGGTAAGGATCACAAAGGTTAATTAAGCCATGATGCAAGTCACTATAAATACTTTTTCATATATTAAACTCTATTTATCTTCGCAGAAAACTTGGCTCTGCGATGCTGTCCGTGATTGCACAAACGGTGAAGACGAAATGAACTGTGAAGTGCATTGTGAAGAAGATCAATACACATGCAAAACTCAAGATCATCTCATCAGCAGTGCATTCAGGAATTGTGTGAACAGGAAACACGTTTGTGATGGCATGAAGGACTGCCCAGAAGGAGATGACGAAGAGAAATGTCCTGTGAAGAGAGCATGCACTTTCGAAGATAAATGTGACCCTGATATGTGTATTACGACCTACGACGGACATCCAGCTTGTACCTGTCCATTGGGTTTCCTGTTAGACTACAACAATCACACGTAATGCATATTCCTTAAATCAACGACAATAATATTTACTTCCTTTTAACGCAATAAACATGTTAACTTAATAAACTTTGAACTTTACAGCTGCCGCGATATAGATGAATGCATGTACGAACAGGATCCAGTTTGCTCTCAAACTTGCTCCAACACCGTCGGTAGTTTCAAATGTGGTTGCATGACTGGATACGTCTTGAGGCCCGATGGACGATCTTGTAAACCTACAGGAGAATCACCCACTCTGTTGTTTTCTAACCGCGTCGGTATACGACAGGTAAATGTTATTATAAAATATTAAAATTCTCTCGTCTCTCATCAAAAAATCTTTCGTCAAAATCGACTTTAATAAAAAATAAATTCAAATGAAATGTTTCAAACAGGTTTGGCTAACTGGCGATAACTACATGCCAGTAGTAAAAGGTCTTCATAACGCGGTTGCTTTGGACTATCACTACGAAAAACAACTTGTCTTCTGGACTGAAAACAACCTCAGAGTCATCAGGGTAGCTCAAATGAACAACAACAACTTGACTGGTAAGATTTTAGTACAATATAATTAAATTGGCAAATATCGAGGATGACAAAATTACCTGGTAATGTTTTATACTTAGATGTAATAAGGTGGGGGTTAGAAACACCCAGTGGAGTAGCCGTAGATTGGATACACGATTTGCTGTTCTGGACGGATTCTGGTACTCGACGTGTAGAAGTAACGACGCTCGAAGGAAACCAAAGAGCGGTCATAGCTGCCAATGATCTGGACAAACCAAGGGCTATAGCAGTGCATCCCGGAGATGCTTTGGTGTTCTGGACTGATTGGGGTAAAGATCACAGATTTTTAAAGATGAATATGTAATCCGAAAAAAGAAAATAAAACAGTTTCTAAACCATAAATAAATTCACAGGTCCCAACCCAAAGATAGAGCGTGCTGATATGGACGGCAGTAGACGAAAGAGTATTATTGTGGATAAAATCTTTTGGCCAAATGGATTGACCATCGACTATACAGAGTCCAAGATATACTGGGCAGATGCTAAACACCATGTTATTGAGAAGGCTTCGTTTGATGGGCGAGATCGGAAAAAGGTAGAAACTTTTATATCAAGAATCGTAAATAACCGATCCAATACCTTTTTTCTATCAGTAATAAATATTTAAGATTGTGGTGATTTTAATAAAATGTGTGTCTTGTATTGTTTCTAGGTAACCAATAAAGGGCTTCCTCATCCATTTGCACTGACACTGTTTGAAGACGCTATCTACTGGACCGACTGGCACACCAAGAGTATTTCTACCGTCAATAAGAACACAGGCATGGGAATACAGACTGTCCACGCAGGGCTTAACGTTCCCATGGATATTCATAGGTAAGTTATGATGATGATAAAAAAAGATCAGTGCTAATATAGCCAACTAAATTGGAAAGATCATGCCTATTGTTTCTTAAAGATATTTCATTTTACTTTTTACTTTACTGAAGTTTTGTTAATTGTAATTATTTCAATAAAATATTGTATTCATCAGCTACCACCCGCTGAGGCAAATAAAGACCTACAAGAATCGTTGCGGCACTAACAATGGAGGTTGCTCCCATTTCTGTCTTCCGAACAGCAACGATCACTCTTGTCGGTGCCCCGTTGGATTCAACTTGAACTCGGATGGGTATGTTATCAGTTACCAATAATGTAGTTTTAACACAAAATTCAGTCATACAAACAAAAATACATTAAAAAATACTATTTATCAACTGTCTATTTATTACAGTCGAACTTGCGAACAAACACCTGAGAAACTACTGTTATACGCCCGTAAGAAAGACATCAGATTGAAACAACTTAACCCTAGGAAATCAACTGATTCTTTGGATATGGTACGTCTAAGGCAATTAACAATTTATTCCATTTTAAGTTGTTATTTGAACACACAATATAAAAACATTTTTGAAGTAAAAGTCCTTACTATTTTTATGTCTTTATGCTCTTTCTCTACTCTTGTGCCACTTTCTAAAGCTTTCTTTATATCCTCCAGGTGATTCCAGTAGAAACGATAAAGTCAGCTGTGGCATTGGACTGGGATCACAACACCAACTCGATATTCTGGACGGACGTCGACAAGGATACCATCAATCATGCCTACTTGAATGGATCACAGCAACGTGTTATCGTTGGATCTAATTTGAGTAAGTGGACCATCCATGACTAAAGCCCTTGACTTTTTTTATCATAGGCAAACTTCATTACTATTTTAATTAATATTTTTCAGTTTGGCCAGCCGGTTTAGCATACGATTGGCTAACTGATAAGCTGTACTGGACTGACGCTGGTACCAACCGGATTGAGGTAGCTAATGTTGATGGAAGCATGAGAACTTTACTGGCTTGGGACAATATCGACAAGCCGAGGGATATCGTAGTCGATCCTAAAGGTAAACCCTTTGATGTCTACACATATAAAGAACAGTCAAAGTCAAACCATTTTTTCCAAATAGACAAACAAAAAATATATACTTATATCAAAAGTTCAATTTTATGTTTGTTAGTCTGTCGGTCTGTTCTTTAGTGAAGCTATTTGCTCGTTCCAAAGAATAGATTCCTATGGAGAAGAACGAGCAAACTAAAGTAAAAACTTCATAGTTACTCTTTTTCAATCAGTTTCACTATTAATTTCTTTGTAAAAGATAAGATAAGAATTTTGTAATTACTTATAATATGGATTAAATACCATTATATTTTTAATTTTTCTTTCGTAGGTGGCGTAATGTATTGGTCCGATTGGGGTACCAATCCGTGTATTGAACGGGCTGACATGGATGGAGGGAATCGACGGCGACTGATTTTCGGTAACATGACTTGGCCCAACGGACTGGCATTGGATCTGAAGAATAGCCGCATATACTGGACTGATGGAGGGAACCAAACTATTGAGTACGCCAACTTGGATGGTACAGGAAGAACAGTATTGATAGGTAAGTAATTAATGGCCCAAAAATACTTTCAGCTATACGTACTCTAAGGCACCCCGGTCTGCAGGAGGTGGGGTTAGTCGGTTAGTCTGACAGTCTCTCTCGCAACACCCTGGGCGGAAGAAGACATTTGATGATTTTTCCCTCACAAAAAGAAGCTATAGGTACTTAATATTGGATGTTGCATAAAAATTAATATTTTATTTAGGCCAACATCTGCCACATCCTTTCGGGCTGGATCTATTCGGAGACGAGGTGTTTTGGACGGATTGGGATACTCAGTCAATTCAAGCAGCCAACAAATACACTGGAAAGAACCGACGTACTCTTGGCGCTGGTGTGGCTGGCCTTATGGACGTTCGAGTTTTCCACAAAGAACGAGTTTCTGGAGTCAATAGGTACACTAAGATTTTTTTTATGAAATTTATCTAATATGTTAAATGATTAAGTATCACGTTTTTATTACAAATATTTTGTTTTGTAAACAAATTTCTGTTCTACTAATACAGATGCGGCAAGAACAACGGTGGATGCTCACATCTGTGCTTGTTGAAACCTATGGGGAGATCGTGTGCTTGTCCCATTGGAATTAAAATTGGCGTAAGTCTTCTACTAATTTTAGATGTAGGTACAATAATTTTTTTTTTGGCTTCTCTAATGCGGTCGTCTTCTTTTACAATTACAGAAGGATGGGAAGACATGTGCAAATGGTCCCGTAAACTACTTGATATTCGCACATCGTGTAGATATCCGAGTGGTTTCTTTAGACGTGCCATATTTAATCGACGTTCCACTACCACTGCCAGTGCTCAAGAACGCCTTTGGAGTTGACGTAGACCATAAAACAAGTAAGTGGACTTACTTTAATTGACAAATCAACCAAGTTGTACAAGTGTGCTTCACTTTACCTAAAAAACATTAAATTACTTTTTCCTTAAGCATGATTCGCTAATATGAATAAAAATGAAATACAGGTCTGATCTACTGGACGGATACTGGTGAAAGGAAGATACAGCGCGCCAACCGATCTGGCAAAGACATTGAAACAATCATAGGCAAAGGATTACACACTGTCGATGGAATTGTGATTGACTCTACTGGCCGTAAGGTTTGTAGTGAAATTTCAAATAATGTTGATCGTATTTGTATTGATCTACTATATTTCCATGACTTGGTACTTAGAAGATATTTTGGTTGCAGATTTACTGGACAGATGGAGGCAGGAATAGTGTCGAAGTAGCCGAACTTGATGGTTCTAACAGAAAAGTACTTGTATGGACTGGTTTAGGTAAGAAACGTATTTAGCAACAAAAAAAAAACTAATCATCGACCCTGTTGGCCCCATCCGTGGTGGTCTATTGGTTACTTTATATAGGCCTGTACTCAATTTATATTTGATGTTATAGATTCTCCCCGCGCTATTGCACTGCACTACGAGTACGGATACATGTTTTGGTCGGATTGGGGCACATCTGCCAAGATTGAAAGAGCTGACATGGATGGCACTAACAGGTATTTGAAGATAAAATTCTCGAAACAAAAATGTTAACGATTTGCTATAAGTAATAAATGAAACTAATTAAATGTGTTTCCTAGGCGGGTCATTGTGGAAAACAACATCAAGTGGCCGAACGGTCTTGCTATCGATAAAATTGAAGGTCGTCTGTACTGGAATGATGCTAAAGTCCTCTCTATCGAAAGCTCTGACTTCAATGGTAACGATCGTCGTATCATTCTGAGTAATGTTCCGTATCCTTACGGCATTGTGATTGTGGGACAGTACGTGTATTGGACTGATTGGAGGACACAGGCGCTGCATAGAGCGGACAAGGTCAGCGGAAAGAATTCTATCATCATCAGGAAGAACTTGGAGGGACTAATGGATATTCGAGCGGTTCAGGTATGTCAAAGAACTGGTATCAAAAATTTGGTTAAATAATAAATAACAATAAAACACGGTAAGATATGATTATAACACACACATTTCTGCAACAGGGTGAACGAGAATTGGAAAACGTTTGTGGCAACAATAACGGTGGTTGTTCACATCTATGTCTGCGATCACCTTCAGGCTATACGTGTGCGTGCCCGACTGGTTTACTCTTCAACTCCACGGAACCAAACCCGAAGACTTGCAGAAGATACCCTGAAAGTTTCCTGTTCTTCGCTACGAAGACTAGCATTGCCCTCATCTCGTTCGATACTCCGGAACAGTGGGACGTCGCGTTACCAATAAAGGTGCAAAACGCTGTAGCTGTGGACTTCCACTGGGAACATAAATTGTTATTCTACACTGACGTCGATATGGATGTAATCAGGTATGATGATTAAATCCTGAAAGCGTACCTACATAGTTTTTTTCTCTTTTTCCGTGCGTAAAAAAGAAAGCATATTTATGTAATAATTATTGCAGATCAATAAACATGATGAACATGAGTGACACGAAGGATGTGATCAAAGGCAATATGGGTATTCCAAATGGACTGGGAGTAGACTGGATCGCGAACAATATCTACTGGACGGACAATGAATACAAAGTAAGTTATAACTGCATAGGTGTAGCTGCTAATGAGAAAAATCTTAATTGAGAACACTTTTTAAACTATCGTGTTATCCTGCAGGTCATAGAAGTAGCACGGTTGGATGGCTCCTCGAGAAAAACTCTGCTTAGCAATCTGAGTGAACCTAGGGCTCTAGCTCTGTTTCCAGCTAAAGGGTATGTAGATAGTAATAAAATATGTCAATTGTACATTTTAAACATATTACTGAAAACATCAAATCATGATGATTTCAAATTTGCAGGTACCTTTACTGGAGCGATTGGGGTCAAACTCCATGCATTGAGCGAGCCTTCCTTGACGGTAGCCAAAGACAAGTGATTGTGATTCAAGATGTAGGTTTCCCCAATGGAATAACTATTGATTACAAGGACAGGAGGCTGTACTGGACTGATGCTTTGAGGCACAGGATAGATACATCCGACCTGAATGGACAACATCGAGTGCAACTCATTCCAGAAGCTAAGAACCCGTTCGGAATGACTCAGGTAATATTCAGTCCATCACGATATCAAAATAATCTCCGTTAAGACATGTTTTAACCTTTATTTTGATTTTCAGTTCAACGACTACATATATTGGACGGATTGGTACAAGAAAGCGGTGATGAGAGCAGATAAGAAAACTGGAAAGAACGTGACAGCCTTGAGAACTGACTTGGAGATGACGATGGAGATAAAAGCAGTATCGTCCGAGAAGCAGCATGGCTGGAACCCTTGCAAGGAAGATAACGGAGGCTGCTCTCATCTTTGCTTCTTCAGAGAACACGATTATATCTGCGGCTGTCCCGATGAAGCTGATTCGAGACCTTGCTCTACTGGTAAGTCGTTCTGTCGGATTCTATGTAGTTAAATTCGAGAAGCTTTTTGGTAAATTGAGTTTAACTTAATTTTGTGTGATATTTTTACAGTGCCGAAGGTCCGCATCGATAACAAAATGCCGTCTCGTTATCCCTCGTTCTATGACTATACGGACATTGAAGAAGACAACGGCTTGCCTCCACCACCGACCGCAATACCAGACACCAGCACTGGAGCTATCATCATACTGGTTGCTATCATGTGCTTCATAATACTCGGCATTATCGTTATTGCATTCGTTTGTGGTAAGTTATTCGACTAAGTACCTAATTGTGCGATTGTTTTCATAAGATCTTTTAGCATCTACAGTTTTTCTTTATTCGCAGTGAAAATGAGTCGAGTCCGCGATGGTGATCTAAAGGAGAATTACCGCGAGTCCGGCGGTCACATATCGTTCCACAATCCTAACTACAGTTGCAGCACTGGCGCTAGCGGCGGCAGCGCTGAGCAGCTCGAACGTCGACCCAATCGGTTCCAAGGCATATTTAAATACGACAAAAATCAGGTAAATATGACTTTATACTATAATTTAGTTTGAAGCCATTTCAGATTTTAAAGAAAGAAAAATCATGAAACATTTTCAGTTTTTTTATTGGTACAAGTTTCATTATAAGACCGGAAGATAAAAGTATTTTAGTTATTGAAACAAATAATTTCACAATGATGCTATTGAGGTATTGTCTTCTCCCCTGCAAGAGAGTAACACAAGAGTTGTTACAGGAGCGTGTGACGAACGTGTACATCCCGGAGGGCACGAGCCTGCTGCCGCCGCCGCCGCCGCCGCCGCGGCCGGCCGCGCGCCCCGCCACGCACGACGACTTCGAGCCGGTCACACTGCACTCATACGCATAGACTTGTGCCAACTTTAATAATGATATCATCTGCGAATGTTCAACGGAGCCGCGGCACTAAGCCACGCTAACACCAACTGCTCAGCAGTTATTTTCTAATAACGCGTTTCCGACCGTGCGACATCGACACAAGTCGATAACGGAACCGCGACTTTGGGAAATACCTCCTCCAGACATTCCTCGATGTGAATGATCGACAGTTGCCACGTGCGTCCGATTCTAAATAAGTATACACTAGATGCGACGCTGCTTGCGTCAATCCGCATACCATCAATTTGCGTCATCAGGTTCATTGATTGGATTATGCTGTGGGATGGAAATCCTCGTAGTAATCCTACGCTGTAAATACTGTGGCTGTCGGCATTAGAGTGCTAGAACTGTGTCCACCTGATGACGAATTTATGGTATCTCGTCCTGACTTGTCCCATGTGGTTTTCACACAAGTAACTGCCTTTGAGGCAACGAAACCGCACAAATATTATGACTATTCCTTTGTGTAAGCGCATGATAACATGCGGATGAATACAACAATCGATGATTATGATCTTATTAACTATATGTTAGGTTAGGAAAATAAATTTTACAAATGAAGAGTATCAAAGCGATTTGAAATGGATATTTTGATTTTTCATTCATATTTCCGATATATTTGTCAATTGCAGCTTATTACGAAAGAGATCTAGGACGACTAGATTTTGTAAGATCAATACGTAAGCCAACAACTACATTAGGAATTTATTGAATAATGATTATAATACGTATCTATATCTAGATTAGATCATAGGTACTAGGTGGTGCATGTGTAAAGAAACAATATGTCATGGTAACCTTACAGTCGTTTGATATTCCGTCAGGAGCAGATCAGTCATACATAAATGTTATTGAATAGGGAGTTACTCGTAATACAATATTTATATGAAATATGATTATTGTTATAGTTTATAGGGATAGGCAAATGTTTAGATGCATAGCAAGTCTGGACGATTTCATGTCAAGTGTACATAGATGTATCTATTTGTAATAAAAAAGAGGGTTAAAGTCGCTGGATACACCCAAAGGGTGTTTGTAAAGTGAGACAACTACGATAGCATGCTGCCAGGTCGCGACCACCCTGTACTCTTTACTTTGAGCGCCGTACTAAGGGTGGGACATATCGCAGCATGATATCGAGGTGAGAAAGGAGCAGATAATAAATTTATTAATATTTATTATTTTTGTACAAGTCACATCTATCGGTCGTCGCCTGCGGCTCACAGGGAAGATCGATAGCGACTTTTATACTGTAAGATATGTCCTGGGGTTGTGGTTCATGTCCTCGTTACTTATAAACAATGTCCTGACTAGTCGATGTCTTGTGTATTACGTACAATGTTTTAATTTATTTAGTTTTTTAGTGTATATGTATTTTAGCCCCACAAATCTAAGTTTATAAGTAACAGGACTTACCCGGACATATCTGTAGAGTGGGGAATGTTTGCTATAAAATGGTGTCCCGACCTCGTTTATGGGTGCAGTTAGAATGTTTGTACTAAAATAAAGACAAGTAGTAACACATCACAATTAATATAGTATCAAACGAGTGAATCAAAATTCACTCGAAACATATATTTATCACTTTCGATGCAATCCGATCTTAGTATAATAAAACGAATAAATTCACCAAGTTTAAAATGGTGACAATAAAATATCAGTGTAAATAGTTAGTTTTAATTACCAATTATGTTGACCGACCGAAATTGTAAATGTAAATAATAGTTTATTTATACCTCGTACGTTATATGAAGGCAACTGTTTATGTTGAATGAACGCCCGCTGCCGGGCTCGTCTCCCCATCTTACACGTTCGTCTCATATCAGATTAATTCATTTAGTACCTAATTAGAATTAATATTATTGATTAAATTTATTTACTTACTCTCAAATCATCTGTCATCGATGATAATAAATGACTATTTACTCAAATGACTATATTGTCTACTTTTATATTTTATTCAGTTTATCGATGGACTTACAAGACATACCTAACTGGAATATGTATAAAGTTTCACAGGGTGTTTTAAACTAAGGTAGCGTTAGGGCCCTGAAGTGGGCGCAGATACGGTAAAACTTGCATTTGCTTTAATATATTTGTTTAAAACACCAAAGCGAACAACGCCAGTCTAGTCATAGGGGCGGTTCGAATGCTGTCAAACATATTTTGTAGCCATTTGGAAATTATATTACCTAATGTTGAAACGACGTAAAAACTATAACGAAAGTTCCTTTTCTGAAATTATGAACTTGAAGCAAATATTTTAGTGAAAGACTTTCAGTATTACTATTAGTATGTATGTACGTTTATTTTTTAGAACGGTTAATTATTTATTAAGTATGTATACGTCTGTATGTGTTGTTATAATATGTCAAAGACTATTCAAACAATAATATATAATAGTGTGTGTAATAAATACTCGTTATGGGCACTCACCACATTAACTGAGTTACATGTGAACAATCCGGCCTCTTCTAGCTTACTATAGTAACGCTACTTGCGACATAAAATGTGTTTCAACAATAACTATGTTTGTGAATCTTACAATCCTCTTTTTCGATGGTTGCTTTATTATTTTACAAATTTTCAATTATAATAAATGTCTAGATGGAGACGATAAATACCCATTCCAATTCTTGAACGAATTAAAGAGGCTTGGAAGAATTATTTCAAATTCTTCATACCTAATGTTTCATAATAGTTTTAAGATATATTTTATGTACATTGTTTTGTTACATAGCTTGTAAGGGATGGGAAACTAATATAGTGAGTGCTGTGATACCGAATGCTTTGAAAGTGTAGTGTGGTAATCAGCGATGGTTATAATATTGTATACATTTATTATTATGTATTACTTTATGTTATTAGACCCTGTCATTTATTTGGACGTCATTGTAATATATACGGAAGGGAAGTCAACAATAAATGTAATTCAAATTCCCATATTAACTACTAACGACTAGCATTTTATTGTGTAAGTATTGTAAAATTTATAAAAGAAGGTATATATGTGCCAAATTTAAACTTACAGTATTTTGAAATGAGTGATTGGGTTCGGGAATGATTATAATGAAATTAATAGTTAATTAATTAAACAGCTTTTACACCTTTGATGCCTCCTTTTATAGAGGTGTTAAAACTGTTGTCAAATTTATTATTGTACTGACTTAAAAAATAGAAATTATCCCAATATATTCGTGTTTCATTCGCCATAAAACCTTTTCCTTTCACTCCCTTCCCCAGCTACAGACCTATACATACATATGTACACCACATGTACTCCCAAACGGGATAGCAACAGATGTACTTGTAGAACATAAGTTACACTTTTATCCAAACTCCCTAAAATATCTAGACCTCATTATTATGGGGCTGAAATAATAATGCATCTGGACATTATTATTTCAGCCCCAGGTCGAGATCTGGGGCTGAAACCAAGGCTCTTACACAATATATAAATAAAAGAATCATACATACTGTACTAGTTTATTTTCATATGAACCGTACAATTACATACATACTCGTCGTTACACTTAGTCAACAACATGAAGATAACACTTAGTACATAGCTATAGGTAGGTATAGACAATACAGTAGTGTTCTCAGATAATGAAACCTGTCTCCCTGACGTCACAACATGAAAGGGTGAGTCACAAAAGGTGACAAGCTAGCAAAGTTTTTATATTAGCGATACAATGGCGTAAACTGTGACCTCAGATAAACAATGCTTCTCATAAAAAGGTATTAAAAATAGACAGTTTTACCCATTACACCTTAGACATAAGGTACATTTTCTATTGATCATTTTATAGAAAGTAATCAATTCAGCAGTCAGCGTAACCAATCAAGAGCAAACAAACCTTTAATATTATTATTATATTCAAACTCTTAATTTGTCCACCTTAAACGTATATTTGGTAACGTATTCGATTTTGTTCAGTAAATTATATTTACAAACGAATAATAACTACTCCTTGATTTACCAATAAATTCATAATAAGTAGTAACTATTAATATTTTTTGTCATTTCACATAGATAATCTTAATATTAGAATACTTTTATGGTCACAATAATTTATTAAGCTAAGTCGTCATGTGATCTTAGATCACACCGAACATTGAAAGTAATTTTAATAGACACCACGTCACAAACGAACATTCAAGAGTCTACGTCTGCGTTAAATTCAACATTTAAAAAATATATTATTTATGTCAACATTATTTTATAGTAAGTATATTATTATACTAACAAAGTATTTAGTATGAAAATAATTAGAAAACATATAAATGTTAGAAAAGGTGCGTTCGTAACAAATGCTTGGTGCAATGCGTTTCAGAAGGCTAGCACTAACTCATATTTAACATGATATCTACTATAATAAGTACAAACTTTACATATTTAATTTGAACAAGGTAATGTGGAATGATAAATTAGGACTAGTAGAGGTGGGAATCAATAACTAACAGACAAGACGAACAAATTATTAAAATATACATGTTTCTTAGGCTTTATCGTCTAAAATAAATACTATTATTCGACGTACATACAGATCGATGGGTGAGGTCCCTAGCAGTAACTATAAAGGTATGGTTTGCCTACATATTATTTTTATCAACGCTATAAATAAAGAAACTCTTAACTTTGTGAATACTTTTTATAGTCCTAGCATAGGACTGACCTTATTTGGTAGCGAGGAAAACTGGAAATGTTTCATCTTAAAATAAATGCAAGAGATAGAACATAGCACGGATAAGTAATATAAATAAGCGAAAGAGATACAATTAAAAATAAAAATGATCGTTTTCAAAGAATGTTGTTCTTTCATTTATTTTGTATATCAAGTACATTAGAATTTGACTATTGGCGTTCAAGATTCAGGTACACTAGTAAATGTTACAAATTTGGAACATCGATAGATTTATTTTAGTAGATATCTTTAGTTCGATGCGTGAACTTATAGTAATGCGTCAAACGTGCATTCTTTGGCACAACACTATAAAAAACAAAGTAACGTTCCGAAAATACTAACACTTTTATATTACATTAGGAATAAGCTATCTAATCCTGTGGCGAAATATTAAAATCAAATCGTACTAAAGGCATATAAAAAATAATTTATTTTGAATATATTACGCTTTTTATCAAAATAATATTAGTAAAAAATTAAGCTAGGAAGAAAATGAGGCCTTTGTTCTGTTAAATAATATGAGAAAATAAATTCGATTACGCTATGTATCTTTATGAGTAACGAGGTATACGAACTTAAAACTTGAGATCAATACATTATACTATCTAATTAACTTATTTTTAACTCGTATATCCTAAAGACATGCGGCCTTATATCGAATTCAATTACATTATACAAAATGTTCAGTGTACATATAAAATTGAAACGTAGAAAGAGAGCTTCGTTTGTAAGATCGTTCCAAAAGTTTTTTTCAGAATAACATTTACATTTTGGCTGTTTTGTTTATTTTTAAATAATAAAAGTTCATAAAACATGTAATATACAGGCTGTAGAGATCATTCTCGTCAGATCCATAAAGTTAAAAACTGGGTTGTGAATTTAAAAAGGTTGATATCCATTATTAAAAAAGATATGTGCAGTCATTTTGAAGTATCAACATTGTAAACTTGATTAACATAAAGGAATGTCTCTCAAAGAGGGTTTATCTTTTTGTATAATATTCAGCGATGTTTCAGATATGATCCCTGTAAGATTATAACTACGTACGTTTGATATATCTATTGTCATGGCTTACCTTACCTAGTGAGTTACTGATAGCGTTTGAGCTCTGGGAATACTTCTAGAAGTACCAATTCGAACAGTTCCTGCAACCAAAAAACATTATTGAGTGATTTATGTGCATGAGACTGTACAGAGAGAGATTTCTTTATCACCTTAGCACAATAAAAAAATAATGATATTAAATTCGATATTTGAACAATTATTTTCAACGTAATTCTGTGAGAGTTGGACTTAAATACATATTATTGGTATATAACACGCGGTGTGCACGTCTTCCGCACAGTTGTCGCGACAATTCACATATATCAACTACGAGCGGCGACATTTTTAGCGTCCAACACGCGTTTTTAGCTACAAAATAACACGCCAATAATTTTAGATCGCGGTGTTTGTGATACAGAGGCGTAACACGTTGGTCTGTAGGCACAATGTATGCCAATATTATCAGTTGCGGTTTGAGAGTCCGTTGAGACGACCACTTTTATAATTCGCTACCGGTATCGTTATTATCAGTTTATACAATAAAACAAAAATAATAATATAAATAGTAATTATTTGAACAAAAGAACATTAATAAATTTTAGTGCAGTGAAAATATTTTATCGATAAAAAATTGTTTGGCTCAAAAATGCCGATAGTGTTCAGTGCTGTTGCAAATGACAGAAACATAGTGTCCAACTTCGCATCCTGCGATGGAAACTTCACTGAGATTGCTCAACAAGTGCTGTCTAAGTTGCCGGCTTGTAATAACAAGATGACATACTCCCATGGAACGTATCTACTGCATTACATATCTGAAGATGACTATTTATATTTCTGTATTACAGATAAAGTAAGTTGAATTTGAGTTATTAATTTACAGTATTTGTTTAGACATCCAATTGAATGCTTCTTTTTTAAATACAATCAAATGCTGCAAGTAAAAGACAAGCAAAAGCTTCATGGTAACTAATAATTTTAATAGGGAAAGCGCATGTGTAATTTAGTTTTTGATATTTTATTCGATACGACATTCCGCAGTACACGTAATTTAAAACTCATAACTATCTTAGTTATGAGTTTTAAGTTCGAGCACTTAACAAAATGCACAAAAGCATTATATGTCCCACATCGCCTTTATAGTTTTACACAGATAATAAAAGTAACATAAAATGTCATAGACATTACGTGATATTTGATTTAAATAGATACTTTCCTCGTTCATGACCGTCAAGACATAATTAATTTTGTTTATCATCAAACGCCCACTCGAAATATCATAAAAATACTCGACTATTTTCGTACTTATGAAAAACGCGATTTCAAATATAATTTCAATAATTTATTACTTTTTATGAATAGTTCATTATTGTAAATTGAGTTTACTTATTTTTAAAAAAAATTAAAAATATTCACTTTGGACGTATAATTATACAAGCACCTATGTATTATGACATAACAATATTTATTTATTTATTTATTAAGAATATTTACATATACAACATTACAGCTTACGCCATTAAGTTGTATTGTTAATTTTATAATAATATAAATACTATTATCTAGGTACCTAAAAAACTAATTAGGATTAAATACAAGAAAAACAATACAAATTTGAAAAACAAAATAAAAGTACTTAATACAACTGAATAACAAGATTGGTGATCATAGTAATCTTAAACTAAATATAACAATACCCTTTTTATTCCAAGCCAATGTATATGTATGTTCGTTCACTCATTTTTCGAAAATATCGTATTTAGCCCCACGTTATAATGTGTCAACCCAGTTGTACTCTAAACATACACTAGACAATATTCAGACCTAACTTTATTACGTTGAAATTTATAAAAAGTTAGAAATAAAAATAATCTGTTTGCTTACTTCTTGTCCCAACAATGGCTCATCTGACATGACCCAAGGTCCGCCTGGTCGAAAATGCCTAAGGCATTAAGCTCACCTATTCACCACTTGTGCATGAAGGGTCAAATAAATAAATAATAATCTCTTACCCGAGAATAGAACCAAGAAGTTTGTAACCAGCAATCGTACTAACAAAAATTATCGAACCAACGAAATAACAGTAGTTTAGATATTTTATCAACTACATAAAATGTATTTATGTGCCTCCTAAAATAACATTTAGACTAGACATGAACGTAGTATAAGTTTTTATTTTATTTTGACACCAAAATATCATATATTTTTGGGGTGGAGTGCATCTCTAAAATAACATTTAAATTTTAGACTACAAATGAATGCAGTATAAATTTTGATTTTATTTTGATAACAAGATATACTATAATGCATTTATGGCTGTGGTTCTCGAGGTGTACAAAAGATTTTTTTTATGTGAAAGAGCAGCAAACGAGCATACGGATTACCTGATGGTAAGCAATCAGCGCCGCCCGCAATAACTGAGTAGTTACGAGTGCGTTGCCACCCTTTTGGGGATTAGGAATTTATGAGATTTAGGGATTGGGGAGTGGAAAGACGGGCCTCCGGTTACCCCACTCACTCGGCGAAATGCAAGGCTGTGGTTGTTTCACGCCGGTTTTCTGTGAGGCGGTGGTATCACTCCGGTCGAGCCGGCCCATTCGTGCCGAAGCATGGCTCACCCACACTTAAAATATGGGTATGTGGTGCTTATCCCTTTTTTTATAACAAGTCTGTGGTTTCGTACTCAGTATTTAAAAGATACTTGTGATTCTATTAATCCTTCCATCATTTGTCAGTGTCGTAAGTTTTCTTTTTTCTTGAGCAGTGTATCTTTTTCTTTATTTTACTTTTTAATTTGGCTACAAGTCTTGTCATTTAAACAAATTAAAATGTCATGACATCACGGTTGTTTTTGTTCCAGGCAGTTGTGACAGTCAAGTGTATGTTTGAGAACAACATTTCATACAAGTATATAAACATTTAAAATAACATATAAAAATGAATTGCTGTCCGATTTGCTTAATATTCGTGGCAAATATGGTTTAAATGGTCTGACAATAAAAAGAAATTGCAATTTATAGATTAGTAAAAACATACATCGGTTTTCCATATACGTATATAGATTGCAAAGTCTCTAAATTATAATAATACATATTAAAAATTAAACAAGGAACAAAACTGTCACTATTACGTTTAAATAAGCATGAGACGTAACATGTGGCAAACGCACTCTATCATATAAGGAAGACATTTGTTTATCGGCAGACGTTTTCTTCCTGATGAATTGTAATTCCATTCCAGATTTGACAATATCAGTGTTGCAACGTTATGACACGTACTAAATAGTGATGTTGCGAAGTTATTCGATATGGAAATCAAATATTTTCGGATCGATTCCTCTCGTTTATAATTTTACTCTCGTAAACAAAGTATATCAGGAAATTAAATATTTCTGAACTGATAATTTAGTTTTGACGATTAATTTTATTTACGAGACTTTTATTTTATAATTGTGTGTGAAATAAATAAAAAAATTAAACAGATTAATCTGTTTTATTTCATAAGACTAATCTGTTAAGAAATGTTTTTTCGACATTCTGCTAGTCTAACTAATTGTAATCGGCACTCACATTTACAATAAAAATGGTATGGTTACAATTTTACTAAACACTTAAAAGTTCCTATCAAGCAAAGATCCACTGGAATATTATTTATTTTCGTGTAGGTAGGTATCCTGTGGAGCAGGACAAGCGTATCTCCAACCATGACAAGTTCACTTTCAAAAATTTCAGACTAAAGCAAAAAACCAAAGCCATTGTTTATCGATTTTTGTGTTCATCACTACACCATTATAATGTGGTATCATTATTTCACAAAATGACAGTACTCAATGTCAAATGTGGAATCGAATTAACATTATTATTCTGCCTATAGTACCAGTATTGAAAATCCAGACTGTGTGCAACATTAATGAATTATATTGTCATAAATGAAAAATTGTTTTGGCTTCGGTAGATCCCAACTAGTAGAATCCAAAACTTCTATTGATATGTCAAAAACTATAGGTGGTACCTGGTGGTATCTACTTTTCTAAGAGTTTCTATCTTTTTGTATGAGACCTCAAAAATGACGCCATACTCATTTTAAATCCAACAACATACTTATATTTGTAAAGTGAATTAGAAAACAATATAAAAGTATATCGGCAAATCAAAGAATGAAAGTGTGATTTCATTTTAACAATTTATTTTATAAGTCAAAATTATTTATTTTTGGCCTAGGAAACTTCCCAATTACCAACGAATCAGTTTAAATTTTAAGCGTAAAGTAATTGCCGTAACATTGATTAACAGTGATGCTAGTCCGGTGCCTTGTGCCAAATATTTCAAATTATCTTGTCATTTGTCACCCGTCTAGTAATACGGTAATGTTGATCTTAGACAGTTGTCGATTATACGTGCGGCGAAGCAAAGCTTTTGTTAGTCATATTACTGAAATTTGTTGCCAAGGCAATCATCAAATATTGAAAATAAATATTCATGACTAAAGTATACAATAGGTAACTTAATTTGTGTTATAAAATTTGGGTGTAAAGAAAACATAATAGGTTTTTAACTAATCAAATTCAATACTTTTTTCGGAATGTCAATAACTTAATTTTCTATGTATTTTGCATAAAATAGCACGTTGTTTCGTTATACTTTTTGCGTCAAATAGTTGGCGTACTTATTTCTGTTGAATTATCTAAAACATGCGAATAATTGGCATATTGTAAAATTGTTTTATAATTTGAAAAATAATCTTTTTCACCGAGGAAACCACCTTAACAATATTATAATGAAGTTCTCATATGATCCATTCTATAGATACCATTACGAGTATAAAAAAAACATAATACGGTATGTCGCCAACTTAAGCGATAGCCATCATTATAACAAATTACAAATATCGTTATTAATAAAAACACTATTGTTTATCACCAGTTATGTCAACGATCCAGAGCATTTTTATTCCTGAACGAAATACAAAGGAGATTCATAGCAAGCAGGCGGAGTAAAGAAGACTTCACGACAGTGCTGGCAGCCGAAATGTATCGATACAGTGAGGACTACAGCACTATTGTTATCAGAAAAGGCGAATTGGATGAACTTAATAGTATCGGCGTTGGATGCAGTGGTAAGGGACATTTAAACACTCATTATTAACTCAAATAATCAATTGGAAATCCCATTGTTGCTTCTAACAATAAATAAGATTCAATAGCGTTGTCGGCTTTTTGCGGGCCGGGACATTAGGCCTACAAAAAATTAATCCACAAAGCAAAAAATATTAATAATAATGATAGAATTTGTGATTGAGCTATCCTATTCGTGTTAACGTTACCAAGCTCTCTCATGTGAATAACTTCGTTATTGAGTTTTTTTTCTTTTCGCTTTTAGGCCGGTGAACTGTCATAGATGTTTTGATGTAAAAGATTTTTTTTATTTTCAGAAAGTATTCTTGGCGAGAAGATACTATACATCAACAATCCACACATTATTTCATACAGTGTAAGTTATTTCTTGTATAATTCCAACATAGAGAGATTTGGTATATTTCCAAAAAACAGTAGATATAATTTTAGTCGAGAACTAAAAAGTATTAAACATTACATTAAAAAGTATGGGAAGCGAGACTCAGAGCGGTGTCTGTGGTAATATTAAAGTTGAATCTGCAAAGGTGCAGGTTAAAACACTTTCATATTTACATCATATCATTCGAAGCATTATGTCTTTTTTAATAATTTCTTATTTGTTTATTTATTATATATATATATATATATATATCCTTCAATTACGTATTATATTCTACAGTTAAACTTCATCCAAAGGTTGTCTGGAAGCAATTGCTTTTAAGCGATAAGACCGCCAATTGTACTATATTTTGTGTTTTTGTTTCCTATGTTTTTTATTATTATGGTGTACAATAAAGTATATTCATTCATATTCATTCATTCATTATGTTACGAATAAATTGTAAAACAATTGACACAAAAATAATACTGAGGCCTTTCCACTATAAGGTCGACTTTACTGTACACCAGACTCTAGACCAAGGAATTTTGATTTCAGATATTGAATTGAATTAAACTTGTTACGCTATAGTTATTTTTTGTAACATTAAAAAATTAACGACTTAACCAATTCCATTTTCAGACTATATCACAAGTGAGCGCGACTCCATCACTTCTATCAGTGTCAGGCATAAGTTCAACCGAAGAAGAAACAACTGAAAGTCTACATTTAGATGAAGTATCACAAAATACACAACTCGCCAAAGAAAACAATACTTTAAGGGGCATATCAACAGTTTGCCCAAACCAAGAAAGTATATCAGTAATACCACCAAAGGAAAGCGTTCAAAACATGTTTCCAAGACTGTACATAGTAATTGTAGGAATGATTATACTTGTTATAGCTTTGTCCGTGTGGGCCTTCGGACCCTTTTCTTGTGTTGTGGTCACCGGTATAGGAATATATTCGCTCTTACGATCTTATGATGGTTGCAAAAATAAATCAGATTAATGCATACTATTTATACTTAGAACTTTTTTGTAAGCAGTAGTTAATTATAGGACTGACTTTGGAAGCACTTTTTGTTCATATTTTAAGATAATTTCGCACATAGAGTCTCTATTAAATGCATTTTTTCATTGTTTAAGTTCTGTTTTTTTTTACATTACTACATTATTTGTTTTAAGAATTGTGATTTAAAAATAGTCATGTTCCATTTTTAAAATTCACGTGAGAATTTTCGTATTCAGATCAAGTCTAGCTTTGTTATGTTGCCAAATGTCCTAGATAGACGGATACCTGTCTTGTCACAAATATGACATGCCTTTGTTTCTTTACTGTCTCATTAATGAAGATTAATATTCCTAGATTATTATTAAGATTGGGAAAGCCATGCTTCGGCACTAATGGGTCGGCTCGACAGGAATAATACCACCAGGCAATCCGTCTTCTCGTTTGCCGATCTATTACATAAAACAAAATATTGAGAATTTAGGTATGACGCGTAAGCTTCCAAATGGTTCTACGATCGGTTTTGTGGGTACAAACCGAAGAAAATTTGATTGTGTGTAAGGAGCCTCAGCTGTTACATAGGCAAACTATGATGACAGGTTGGCAAACTATTATATGGATTACCTGATGGTAAGTAATCGGCACCGCCCATGGACATACGCAACACCAAAGGAGTTACGATTGCGTTGCCGGCCTTTTGGGGATTAGAGATTTGGAGATTTTGGGATTGAGGAGGGATTAGGGGAGGGGAAGGATTAAGCCTCCGGTAACCTCACTTACACGGCGAAACGCAACTCTTTGGTTATTTCACGTCGGTATTCTGTGAGGCCGTGGTATCACTCCGGTCGTGCCGACCCATTCGTGCCGAAGCATGGCTCTTCCACTCATTAAAATATGTGATGGTAGTATACTCACATAGAAGAGCTGTTTGTTGTGCGTGGTGTTCTGCAGCGTGTAGAAGAGTTTGTGTGCCCCGCGCGCGGCGGCCTGCGCCCCGACCAGCGACGCCAGCGCATCCACCACGCTCTCACTCAGCTGTTGCCGCGCCAGCGTACAGGTATGCTCTGGTATACCAATTCAATTTGTTATTTCATTGTTTTTTAGAATTGTCAAGGTCTTAGTTACATGGTTAATAAAATCTATCCCACTTTTCGTTCTAATGTTAACTCAACAATGCCTTATTTATTATTATATAAGTATATAATATATAGATTAATATTTTTCACATAGCGTTTAAGAAGATCCGAAGAAAAAATGGTACCTTACACAGAACGCATTTTTATGATATACATAAGGTACATAAAACAAATTAAAAGAAATAAGCTTCTTTGATTTATCTTACCTTTATCTTGAAAGTTTCTATTGGAGGTGTTCTCAGACAGGGTCCCGCCCGGCCACCACGACTTTAGAACTACACTGATGTAGTAGTGCAACATTTGTTCAGAGAACAACCACGTCACAGTCTCTTTTATTTGTCTGAAAATATACATAAAGAGATTGAATACAGTGTGCATGTGTTCTGACAATTTTATCATACACACGAAACAATAAATATGTTTTACATGACTATAGAGTTTTTTATAATGAAACACCCTGTTTTACAAGTGTAGAAGGTAGCGTATTCAGTATTTTTTTAATGGAATGGGAGTCAAACGACCTGTCGTGATAGTAAGTTATCTGTGGCACCAGAAGAGTCACAGGCGCATTGGCGGCCTTATAAATATGGCGTATATTATAGGTATGAAAGGTCGTATCCATTCAGGTTTGTGTAAGCGTCCATATAATTAACTAGCTTCCGCCCGCGGCTTCGCCCGCGTGATATCATGATAAAAAGTAGCCTATGTCCTATTCCAGAGTGTATACTATGCCTGCGCCAAATTTCATCCAGATCCGTTAAGCCGTTTAAGCGTAATTGAGTAACAAACATCCAAACATCGTAACTTTCACATTTATAATATTACTAAGAAGTAAGATAGTAAGACTACATACTTGTTACCTTCGCAATGGAAAATCTATGCCAACTTTGCTCTTAATACTCTCTAGTCAAGCTTCAAATTTATAAGTTAATTAAAGTTACCTGTTAATAGTCCTGCCGTAGGTGATCTGCACGAAGGTGACGAGAGTCTTCCTGAGCCAGCGGAACACGCCGCGCATGTCAAACACTTCGCTCAGTAACGCGTACAACGGTTCCGCTATACTATCTCTTTCTTCCGCTATGGCGCCTGCGCCTAGGTAAATGATTTAGGAACGAAATTAATTATTAGCTGTATCATACAACGACATCTAAAATGTCATTTTTATGGGATAGGGCGACAAACAAGCGTATGGTTTACCTGATGGTAAGCCATCGGCGCCGTCCATGTATTCCAGCAACATGGAGTTACAACTTTGTTGCCGGCATTTTAAGGGGGAAGGAGGAAGGTGTATTTGAGTATCACGGGATTTAGAAATTTGGTATAGGATCGGGTTTTTCTCGAACCTCACTCACAAGGCAAAAGCAACACGTAACGAACCGTAACGAAAAAGCATGGAGAGCTATGCTCGTTCGTTACGAAAACGTTAAGTTTTTTTTTATCTAATAAGTTGGCAAGCGGCAGACGGATTACCTGATGGTAAGCAATCAGCGCCGCCCATGGACGCCCGCAATAACAGAGGACTTACGAGTGCGTTGCCGACCTTTTGGGGATTTGGGGTCTGGGAGATTTAGGGATTTGGGAGGGGAAGGATTAGGCCTCTGTTTACCTCACTCACACGGCGAAACACAACGCTGTGGTTGTTTCACGCCGGTATTCTATGAGGCCGTGGTATCACTCCGGACGAGCCGACCCATTCGTGCCGAAGCATGGCTCTCCCACACAAGTATTTAAAACTTAAGGCAACATAGTCAACACTTACCACGTAACGAGCTGGTCATGCTCTTGCTAGCGTTATCAGATCCGTTCCCGTCTAAGTAGAGAGATATCTCGTCTTCATCCGCGGATAGATGTGTAAACTGCTCTTTCTCCTGCGAAGATCTGTTCGTCGCTTCACTGCTTGTACTGTAGACGAAACATTCAGAAAAGTTTATTTTAAATGAGCCTATTTTCAAAGTTAAGCTCAAATCATTTATAGCAATCATATCGTTGTAGGCACTTTTGAACGCCAAACAAAATAAATTAATAACAAAACTTTTAAAATTGTCAGTCTGGCTGTTTGTGCCAAACTAAAATTGTTTGCTCGTTTAAGGGCTCATTTTTCAATAGTCAGATACATGTTATCTGAGGAATAAAATTGTTGCTGTCACTGTCTTATACAAACATTCTAACGCGACAGCATCATCATTATTCACCAGGTAACTTTTATCCATTGAAATATCATCCCTTAAAATGTAGATGACTATGGAGAAGAATAAGTAACAAACAGAAATGGTACAAAATGTTTATTTGACGTTACTTTTCGTCAGTGTTATAAGCTAATGAGGTAGGCTATTGTCATTGCACGATATTTTCATACATTATGCTACGTCCGAGAATTTCGAAAACCGAACAACCAAACAAACTAATCATTTCTGATCTGTTCTTATATGACAATCACAATTGACCAAATGTAAACTTGGACTAACACCCGGTTTCCGAAAGGCCTATCAATGTTAAAATCAATTTAATCTCTTGTCAAGTCATCTGATTGGTTGTTGATAATTCAGTCAACCAATCAGATGACTTGACAAGAGATTTGACACCTAGTTAGTTGATTTTAACATTGATCGGCCTTTCAGAAACCGGGCATTGTAGACATTAATCATTATAATACAGAATGTAATAATAAAACTTGTTTTACCTCTTAAATAACGTAGAAAAGGAGAATTTATTTTTCTTTGGTAAGTCACCCTGCTTCAAATATTCAGAGCTAGGGTTGAGGAATGTGTATAAAGCTTCGCTTTGGTTTAGTCTATCGTCTTCTAAAACAAACTGAAAATAAAAACGGTATATTTAATACATACAAGAAGACAGCAATAAATAAGAAAATATATTTATTAATAACATCTCGTTGCAGAAGTTGGAACTAGGAGAATTTTCGTCAATAACAGTCTGACACTCCATCTCGCCTGAACCAGGGCGAAAAGAGAAAGAAAACTTCATTCGATATTTATTCTGATATATACAAATCGACTTACTTCTAAATATTTCTGTATTAAAATTTTAGCTTTCTCTAAAGAGTTTTTATCGTTCTTTCCGAAAAGAAATTTGAACGAATTCGTTGGTAGCTCCAAATTCTTCAATTCCGCACACATAGGCCGTAACTTTCGATGTAGTTCCTGTTGGAAATACAATAATATTTGTTAGTTAATCATCGCTAAGCTGATAAAACTTTAAAACAAACATTAGGTTTACTTATTAAAATGAAACACTTCGGATCTCATTTACGTCCATAAAATGTTCTAAAACAAGTTACTTTTACTTTATGGGTATGAAAATAAACCTTTAATTAAGCTGTATAAATGTTAGAATCGCAAAAATTTAATAAAGAGCACACCTAATACGGTTGTTTCCAACTTCAATACTTTTATCCAAATGTCAAAAACGATACTTTTCTATGAAATTTGTATGAAAAACTGAGGTATGACGTCATAACAGTTTCGCGTCAAATAGCTTACTTATTCCTGAAAAATGAGCTATCGATCGATCGATGAATAAAAGTATAGTTATTTTTCAAAATTTTTATTGTATTAAAACGTCGAATTAATTTATTTTTGACCTAGGACACTACCCAATTCTCCTCACATCGATATGCAATCATTTGAAACCACTTGAATGAGCATAGTGTAAAAGAAAAGAATTTAAAATTTCATTATATACTCCATTGGATCGTAGCGTGATGTTTTATAGCCTATGACACTCAACAACATTTTAGCTATCTATCAGTGCAAGAATTTTGGCAATCCGACCAGCGGTTCCAAAGATTACCCCCTACATACAAACTTACAAACTTGTTTTACCTGAAATTCGTTCAAAGTCCTAAGCAGAACCCATCCAGTGGTAATCTGTTCCGGTCTCTCTTCATCGGCCATGGACTCCTGTTCCGCCATATGCACCACTATCACGAACTGTGGTGGTTTTGACTCGTCTATAATCTGTAGAGACAAATAATAATTTTTTTTAGGTACTATTTTTAAAGGAAAAATTAAGTGTGGTAGACCCAAGGTTCGGCACGAATGGGTCGGCTTGACCGGAGTGATACTACGGTCTTACAGAAAACCGGCGTAGAGGGACCATAGCGTTATGTTTCGCTCTGCAAGTACAGGCCTGATGTTCAGCCGGGGTTGCGGGGTAAGCGCAATGAAGCACCACGACCTCGGCCCAGAGCAGGATAACAAACGGGGGGGTTTTTAGTTAGAAAGAGTCTAACATTCTCTCTTGCCTCACCCTAGCCGGGAGAAGTCATTTGAATCTGACAAAAAAAGTGACAAAGCATTTGCTTTATAAAAACCGAGATTTAGAGAAAAATACTAAAATTAAATTCTAATTGTCTGCATGGTTGGCGCCGTGGCTGGGCAACTGGGTGCCGCGCAACGTGTCGCGGGTTCTATTCTGGCAAGAAACAACTCTTTGTCCAATTTATCCAAATCCAAAATAAGTTGTTTCGGGTCTGGGTGTGTTGCGTATGTGAAATCGTATGTTTGTAAACGCACCCGACACGTGAGAAAATCATAGAGTGGGTAAACATTTCTTTTTAAAGAAAAAAAATATGCTGGTCTAGATGTGTAATGTGTAACAATGACTATGTATTAATTACCTCAGCGCTATGCACGGAGGCCCGCCACCGGCCGAGATGCTCTGCCCAGGTGTCAGTCCTGGCTAGATGAGCCTCCAGCCTCATCTGTTCTCCTGCCAACTTCTCCACTTCATTTGCCAACATAGCCAGCGCAGGGGATTCAGGTTTCAAAGATGCTCGAAGAGCTGCCAATGCCTGTAAAGAGGTTTTTATTGCAAGTCATAAAAACATATTCTGCTACATCATAAAAGTATGAGAGAGCAAAGCTTTGGTATGAATGGGCAAGCTCTACCGAAGTAATACCACGACCTCATAAGAGTCGTAAAAGCACTTGCAAGTCCTTTGGGCGGTGTACATGGGTGGCGTTGATTGCTTACTATCAGGTTATCCGCCCCGTATGCCGCCCGTATCACATAAAAAAGAAAAGTTTTAAATATAGAACGTAATTTTAATTTTGTTCGTAATTTGGTTTTAAATTTTTTATCGGGTATTTATAAGAAGATGACAACCTATACTATCGATGATTTTTGCATAAAAAGTATTATTGTAGTTTTTCCACAAATCTTATAAGTACCAAAGTAACTTTTTAGGTAAAATAAAGATGACATGATAACTAACCCATCCAAAACAAAAATGGTTGCCATTTATAAAATCTCGAGACTACAGGGACAATTAAGGCATAGGTTAAACGTAAAACGATGCTTGAAGAAATTTTAACATTGCGCTTTTAGATTTAGAAATTCGTTTTAAAAGAAATTTAATTCTCAAGAAGTTTTCATTATTAATTATACATATAAGGATCTTTTCATGTCATTAAAATCTACACTTAAAGTTACATACAATATACTATATAATTTCGTTTGGGAGAGCCATGCTTCGGCATGAATGGGCCGGCTCGACCGGGGTGCTACCACTGCCTCACACAAAAGCGGCGTGAACAAACCACAGCGTTGTGTTACGCCGTGTGAGCGAGGTTACCGGAGGCCCAATCGTTTCCCTCCCCCAATCTTTTAATCCTCAAAATGTAACGCACTTGTAACTCATCCATTTTTGGTATGGTAATCACATAAAAAAAAAAATCATACTTGTATTTTATTATTATGTCGTTCCTGCAGCTCGTCTAGTTTTCGTCTCGCGTACGTGGAATGTTCCGTGAGGTGAATGGTTCCCGCCACGCTCTCCGCCGACGATACCGATTCGTTCGACAACTGCCGGTCTTCTATTGGCGATCTGTCTGATGTTATGTCTAGAGAAACGATAAAAACATATGTATTTATTTTGAGAATTACAATAACAATGATAAAAGTGAAGAATCCTAAAATCGGAGCTATTTTTTTTGCCTAGGTTTACTAAATTCTTAAAGTCTTAATTATCTTAAAATTTAATTTCGTTCGTTAGTGATTCAGTTGAATTTCAGTATTCTAATACATACGAGAACAGATTCAAACGAAAAAGGTTTTGATAAAAATATCGCCTTTTTAAAGGGGAAATCATCAAATGATTCCTTAGCCCTGGATGGGGCGAGAGTGAACGCCAGACACCAATTTTGTTTTTGGGACAAGCCCTCCGTAACCTCTTAAACCTCTGCAACTCCTGTAAGCCAGGATCTACAGTAGATACAACCATGAAAACACCGGACCACTGAAGTCCGGCGCGTCCCAGGAGCATGAATGACTGTCTTGAATCCCGCAACGAAATAAATCAGAAGATATTATTTGAGGAGCAAAAAAAATTATATAGTTTCCACTTCCCTCGGTATATTTAATGCAGGAGACAGAATGACTTAGGCCTTAAAGGCACAGAAGAGACTGTACAACTGGAAGAAGCCCAGTCACCAAACACCACGGAAAATGTTGTATTGTTATTTTAATGGAACCTATGTGTGAGCTGCTATAGTTGTTTCCAGTAATAGGTATCGCAAAAACGCCTAAACGCACGGACATTTGTTCTACATTCTTGAAGATGATTTCTTTCACCCAGGGTGGGGCGAGAGGGAACGCCAGACATTTACTGACTAAAAACAATCCTGTTCTTTTACCAGGTCCAGGTTGAGCAGGAAAAGGAACGGGCTGATACTATGGCGTTGGACCCGTAATCCCTACTGCTGTTCTATAAGCCTTAGTGACATTCTACAGAGATTTGCACTAAATTACATTTGAAAAAATAGAAAGTTCTACATTTATAGAGTAGGCACTTGACCAGTTACTTACCCTTGCCTTTATTTGCTTCCTCAGTAGCGAGTTCTGCTATCAAAGCAGTATAATGATCACTTAGAAGAAAAGAGTGGTAGTACTTCTCCTGTATTGTATCCACAACTGTGTCTTGTACTTCATAGAATACTTCTGGACCTTTATCACCTAGTAAGAACGCTTCCATTCTCTTTCTGGTGTCCTAAAACAACAAGAAAAACAATTATTCCAATTTTTCTTAAATCATACTTAAAAGTAAGTAACGGGTACCTTTTCAAGGGCGAGTTTACCAATTCTTAATTATGTGCCATAGACAATCAAAAGATTCGATGTTACTAATGTTACTTTTTTGAGACTCCGAAATCATATCCGAAGCTTATTTTTTATGGGATAAAGTCGGCAAACGTTCAGACTGACTAAACTGATGGTAAGCAATTCACGCCACCCATGGATACTCGTAATACCAAAGGAGTCACTACAAGCCCGAAGCCCGCCTTTTGTGTTGAGCATAGGAAATTAAGTTTTTATTAATTAAGGGAGAGATAGACCGATAAGCTCACATAGAAAAACACAAAAAAGTGTTATTTCACTCTGCTATTCTTTTAGTCCGGGGTGACATACCAGTCGAGTCGTGCTTTCAAGTCCACTTGTTACAATTAAGTAGCACTGACATCAAGCAAATCGTACATTAATTTGTCTTTTGAATGGAATTCATTTACTAATTTCAAACTCAATTTAAATATATATTTATCATATAAATGTCCTTCAAATATATGTTAAAAATACCTTATCAACTTTAATCTCAGCGCTGGGCGATCGTATGTAGGTATAAAATATTTCGGCGCCAAGCTGATGCCAGCTACTTCTAGGGCTGTGCCTCAACTCTTCCACAGCCATCCAGAACCCAACCAGACCCTGTGAGCACATAGTCTCCAGGAACATTGATAGATACCGCCTCCCCGTCACGCTTTCCATTATTTTGTGTAAAGGTAAAGTCTGAAAACAATCGATGCCCCTTAAATTACTGAATTGAAATAGCAATTTTAATTTATAAAATGCAAAGAGCCCGTGACTCTGTTCGCGTGGAATAGTGACTTCCTGCAGATTATTGGTACAAAAACTATCCTATGTCCTCTCTCGAGTTCCAAACTATGTCTGTACCAAATTTCACAGAAATCATTTCAGTAGTTTAGGCGTGAAGAAAAGAAAGACTGAGAGACAGAGGTACTTTCACATTTATAATATTAGCATAGAAAATGTTATTCATGGTTTCGCTTATATCAATGCACACAACAATAATATAAAATGAATTGACTAAAAGTAGTTATGTACTTTAAATACTATGTAACTATTTTATTGTAATAGGGCTTGTTTTAGCACCTTCATATCTATTAGTTGCTGTTAAACTTTTGTGGCATATAGCTCATACAAATTACGTTCTGTATACAACTGTTTCCCGTACATAGCGGCTATCCAGACATCGTGAACCTCACCCTAAACCCTAAATATTTTACTAAATAAGCCTTTTTTTAAACTGGGACAAACCGCCACATCCGCAACTCCTGTAAGCCAGGTTCAACAGTAAATACTGTTGTAGATACAACCAAAAGACCGAAACCCTGAAGTCCGGCGCGTCCCAGGGACATGAATTACTATCATGGATCCCGCAACGAAATAAATTAGAAGATTTATTTTATTGAAGAGAAGCAAATACGAAATCGTTTTCACTTCCCTCGGTAAATTTAATGCAGGAGACTGAATGACGTAAGCCTTAACAATACTAAATAAGTTCAGTCATTTTGGGTTAGTTTGGAAAATAAAATATAAAAATGCATCGTAACTGATAATGAACAGAACTCATACTCATTCGAAGCAAGGACGGACCGCTAGTAAGGTATTGGTACTATTATAGTATGCATCTATAAATGCGATCAGATGTCGCTGTAAACGAGGACACGGTTACACATTTGTTCAATGACATTTTATACGCAAGCAGAAGTTCATAGACGTATATAATTTACATAATATAATGCACGTATACGTATACTATATTATTAATATGACGGTTATGCCGTCAGGTATTAAGGAATGGATGATTAGTATTAGGATTATTATAATTTGATTAACTGTTTGTGAATTGGCAGTACACTTAGGACTGATTTTTCAATAGTCAGATAAATGTAATCTGAGGAACAAAATTGTTGCTGTCACCGTCTTATACAAACATTCTGACGCGACAGTTGAAAAATCAGCCCTTAAAGTTTACTTTAAATGTATACATACACTTTCCGAGTTTCGTATAGACATATTTGCAGCATAAGTACAAACATTACGGTGTGATATGATAATTTGGGATTGATTTTTACATAAAAGAAGATATGTACATTCTACCATACCTACACTGTCATCTGCATCTGAAGGACTTTTGGACTGATAAATTCTGCTTCTATAAAATGCCAAATCAAGTTTGCCTTTTACTCATTATTTTGTGGTGTTTTTAATAAAATTAATATAAGATAGTACTACATACCTTGCTATCAGACTCCACAGTAGGAAAAGCTCCATCCCATCCAAGTTTCCTAAGAGCTGTTTCACACTCCGCCTTCGCAATAGTCAGCTGATTGATGTACCTCTTCAATTTCTTAGCGTCTGCTATTTGTTGTCTACTTATATTTTGCGAACCACTTTTTTCTATAACTTCTATATCTACTCCTTTAGCCCGTTTGACGTTTTGTAGGGTCGTCGCTTGCATTATTTGTGTGACTATATCATATCTGAAATTGAAAGTTACCGTCTGTCAACATCGAGATATTTCTTTTATATGTGTCGCAAGCAACTAACTTAGTTAGCCATTCAATCAACGCCCTGATTGACTAGCTTTTAGATTGAATTTCTGATTGTTTTTCTTAAGCCCTTAGGCTAAAAGACTTGTTATCAGAATGGTTGCTTAGGTTATAACTGCAACCAGCACAGAGCGTTAATCATTCGGCCGAGATAAAGGGATCGAGTTATAATGACGCAGTTTGTAAGTTTGTATGTAGGGGGTAATCTTTGGAACCGCTGGTTGGAACACCAAAATTCTTTCACTGATTAATAGATAGCTACAATGTTCTTGAGTGCTATAAAATATACTTGAAATCCCTTTTATAAGCTTGAAAAGCCGCAGGCAGAAGAAAGACAATATAATATGAGGAACAGGCTTACATAGTAGGTAGTAATTTGAGCGAACAGTAAAAGTACGTTTAGATCACAGAACAGATAATTTTTCTATTCCGTGGTTTAGATACACAGGTTTAGATAGCTCAGCATTCTTTAACAAGTACACATACCTACATGTACCAAAAACTTGTTCACGGTATTCGGAAACGGGTTTCAAGAACTACAAATTTAAAACAGGTAGGTATCGATTTATTTGTGTTATCGGACCTAAATTGAACTCTTTATTGGATATGTATATCACTCGTGAGCCTCGGTTAATTAAAAATAATATTTAGGTTTAAAGCAATATAGTTTAATTTTGCCAATCGTCAATCGCGTAGGTATTTAATAAATAATGGGTCTAAAAATGTTTTCATTTGCTTCGTAGAAACTCAGTTCTGATAGATGAGCCTTAAAAGAGACAGGTCATTACCAGAATTATTGAATGGAACTAAGCGACCTACACTTATACGTGCCGTGGTACATTATTAAGCTTGCACCTGCCTCCCTAGATCTATTATTATAGCTACCAAATATGAATAATTAGCATTAGTATCAGTACCTATAGATCGGACTATCAAATACCTACGAGTAGGTAGGTAATACAAATGTAATATATTCGAACGTTAGGACGACGTCACGACTCCATTGCGACTTTCATTAACAAATGACCTACCCAAAAACAAAAATACCAGTTTGATCTACAAACATAAAAAAAGAGTTAAAACTGGATAAGAGAGGTTATTTTTTACATATAATGTATGCAATTATTCTAAATATTTGATTCGGTTGAATTTGGTTATTAAGGTTTATAATTATAAGTTTACGTTTAATGTTCAATAAAAACAAAATAAAGAGGTCGGTTAAGTACGAGCGAGTAGATAAATGCTTGAGTGAGGAAATACGCTGATAATAGAAATTGGGATAATTCGATCGTATGCCATGTAGGCATCCGCCGCATGCCGCGTCTAAAATATGTAACTTAATAAATAAATTGTGCTCTTAATTACAGAGCACATTATCGCATTAGGTACGCTTATCAAATTAGTTATGGTGTGTTTGAAGCAGACCACGACCCATCGTTAGCCGCGAAATGCTGCCCAATATGAGCTCCAACCGCAGCTTGAAAGCAGTCGAGCTAATTATGGCGAAAACGAATAATATTTTTAACATATACAACATACATATTACAAAATTTACAATGGGTAAATGAATTACTCTTATCCGCATATCAAAAATATCGTTAATTACGTGTCCCATGTATTTTAAAATCACGAGGAAAATATATGATACAAAATATATATTTATACCTATATTTATAAACTATACAAATAAAACAGGATAGCACTTGACACATATTTCCAATTGGTCAGTGAAAGTTATAAGCCACATTATGAGTGTGCACTCACCGTAACCGTTTCAGTGTGTCGACATTATTACAGCTATTGATCAGGCGTATGTAGTCCTCAAACGTTTTGGCGTACTCGTGCGTTCTCACGTGCATAGCATCGACTTCTTTTTGAGCCTCAAGATATTGTATTATTTTCTGATTTATGTAGTCTGGTTCTGTCACTAAATCTATAGCTGGTTGTAGTACTGAAAAATACGATAACATAATATGAAGAAGATGAATAATAGGTACCAGTAGGAGACTCATGAGCTGAGCTTTGTTGTACTTATTTTTTTATAGGATAGGACGGCAAACGGATTACCTGATGGTAAGTAATCGGGGCCGCCCACGGACACAAGCAACACCAAAAGAGTTACGAATGCGTTGCCTTAAGGATTGGGAATAGATGGGGAGTGGAGGCTTTGGGAGATAAACTCGCTAGTTTACCGGAGGCCCACACAGCGAAACACAACAGTGGGCTTGTTTCACGCCGGTTTTCTGTGAGGCGGTGGTATCATTTCGGTCGAGTCGACCCTCTTCCACAATTAATACAGGCATGCAGAAAAATAAACATTATTGAGATAGGTAGTAAGATGGATGTGTGAGGTGTCAAGAATAGATAAAGTAAGAAATATGTTAGGGGAAGCCTGTAAATGGCGCCGCGCCGGAGTGACTTGTTGAGAACTAATTTTCCCTTTCTCGGAATAAAAAGGGTATGGGTTGTGTAAAAGGGTCGATGCGAAATGGGCAAAGTTGAGATAGAGCAAGAAAAAAAAAGACAAAAGTAATTTGCCTTTTGTGTAAAGCCAAGGTATAGTTAAATGCTTAAACATTTAAAATGTATGTCGGCCTGCGAACCTTTTTCGACTTCAGTCATTAAAATACAGAAACATGCTTTTTAATTTTTCTAATGGACGTAAGTTATGGGGATTTTTTCATTGCCATTATTTTGCCGACAATTTCTTTCTAGATTTTGGTTCCAAAAGCCAAAAGGAATATAGAAATGTACCAACATACATACCTCTACTTATTATTAAGCTTGTCCGACATTGTAGGAAGATATGTCGAATATGACGAAATACCTTAATTTTCGCGCATAAATTGCGAAGGATTGCATGATACCAAGTACCTACCTACCTAATTCTCATTTTTGCTGGAATTTGCACCAAAAATTGACACTGAGTTTAACATCTATAGTATCATAAACAAACAATTTGTCAACAAAGCTAGTAAAAAATAAAAAAAGCTAGTAGCTAGTACATAGGGAACACAAAATCATAGACTGAACCATTTGAAGATCTATGTATTTAAAACAAGAAGAATTATATACTTAATTTTATTTAATATTAACTGAGCTTTGAGACATTCTATATATCCCATTACCATTACCACTGGCAGCTAATAAATAATGTTAATAGATAACACATTCCAAATTCAGATTTGAAACATAATTAAAAATGATTTATTGACTCACCTTTACATGCCAGTATTTCCCTCATTAAATGAGTGGCTGGAGCCAATGAATAGCAACGAGGCATCAGGAACATTATAATGAGTTCACTAATCTGTCTCAGGTAGTGCAGTTCTGTGTCATAGGACATCAGGTGGGTAGCCAAAGCAAATACTGGTGGTTGATTTAGTTCTATTCTGTAAGTGTATCATATTAGTAGTTCATATAGTTGAAAGAACTTAGAAAGATTTCTAATTGAATTGAATTCTCTTTTAATAAAAACTCTTTGGTAATAGCTGAGCCCATCACTGAACATTGGGGCTAGCTTGCAACAAAAATCATTTTTTGACAGAAACCTCACCTTACTATTAAAGTGTAAGTAAGATAATTTTCACAGATTATAGAGTTTAAGTTTTTTTTTGTCTTAAAACATATTTTTTTATTTACTTTTTAACTCCCAATTTAATAAAAAGTGTTAGGACATAGTTACAAAGTCAAAGTCTTGAAAAAACTTTCAAAACTTATCTTTATACTTATTATACAATAAAATAAAAATAACTTACGCACAACTCCTAGCAATTCTTATCCTTTCAAAATGCTGTGTGATCTTTGTGACCATGTCACTGGCAAGCAATTTTTCAGCATCAACTCGCAACAGCCTCTCATACAAGTTCTGCACTGCACCCCACACATGTTCTTTGAACTTATCAATCACTGGCTCAGGCTTATGGGATAACTCTTTGAGCCAACGGGCCACAAAGTCTCTTAGAACATAATCTATTAAAAGTTGCAACTGGCTGTCAACGGTGCGTCCAAATATTACAGGTAAATGAGTCTTTTTAGTTGTGTAAGGCCAGTTTGATTGATCTTCCTGTTAAAGAAATATTAAATATGAAGATGGTTACAGTTTATTCTCATAACTTGTAAATAAATGAACACTACCTACCTTCAATGTCTCCTCTATCTGTCGAACATCTTTTTCGAATTTATCTAATAAAAACAACGATGTTTGGTAAGGAGAAGATAACGCAACATGACCCCAAAGCGTTAACGCAAAAACTGCTATCACTATGAATAAACTAAGACACAGTAAATAGAACAAGCACCAGATAAACGGAAAATACCACACCAAAGATAGGCATAAGGGTGCTACACAAACCGAGATCCACCTATACATGTTTTTCACTCAAATTAGCTAAACATTATTTTTACGAAAATGTAAACAACTATGAAAATTCCAATACGCATTCAGAAAACTGTGTAGGGAAATCGTTAGCCATTTATGGTCGTAGAACACTGTACTTAGCACATTTTTTTTAAATTGTTACGTTCTATGTATTAAAACAAGATCTAAATAGACTTTTTGCTATAAAACAAGCTTAGAACTTCGCTCGTCCATTAATCTGCCTTTGGTTCATATATTAGTACGCGAGTTGTCATTTTTTATATTTACTTTTCATACAAATAAAAACGGGATGCAAGATTCAGTTATCGCATAAGATCTTTTCAAGTGTGAAAGAGTCAAATATAATCTGACAGCTACAACGAAAATCAACAGTTGTTATGTCATTTTCACTTTGACATTCATTCCTGAACTAGAGCTGTGTGACTAAACTTTTTTCGGTCGTTTCTCAGTTGCAATTGATATAAAATAAATATTCCAATGATTAATAGGAACGTTTTTTTTCTCAAATGGCCATCAAACTTCCCAATTCCCATCACGTTGTCTTGTCAACTATTTTGCTAATGTCGGTTAGTTATCGAATGGCAACATAAAAATAATAACATGGCATGGCTATATCACTGTCAACAGTCAAACGTCATTCTTATCATAATCATAAATAAAGTTAATAGCGTGCTTTAATAAAATTCAAACTTATACCAAAGTAAACATTATACTACGTTCTATCCAAATCATAAAAACATGAGTGGATTTACACCATAAAAGTTATTGTGAATCCTTAAACTGAGCAAGAATTTGTTATACCTCATAACCCTAGTTTTCGGCTAACGTAATATTGTGAAATTAGAAGTAAAGTAAGTTGTACCTTGCTTGAATATATGATTTTACAATGCCTGTAATAGAAGTTACCTATCTGGTTGTTGGTGGAGGAATTGCCGGTGTAACTTGCGTGGAAACTCTAGCAATTTTGCACCCTGAAGAAACACTTGCAATAATAACTGCTTCTTCTTTAGTAAAAAATGTAAGCAATGTGAGTTTCTTTGCTAAAACCATTGTAAAGTTTGATGTAAACGAAACAGAAGCAAGTTCCTTAATGAGAATTCATCCAAATCTTAAAATTATCTTTGATTCTTTGAAGCATGTGGATACCCACAGTCAAATTGCTTACACATATGCAGGTGATGAAATTAAATATAAAGTTATGTGTATTTGTACTGGTGGCGTACCTAAACTGATAAGAGACTCTGATAAAAGTAAGAGGATACTGGGTATCAGAGATACTGAGTCAGTGAAAGAATTTCAGGAAAAGCTTAGAATGGGTAGAAGGATGGTAGTAGTTGGCAATGGTGGTATTGCATCTGAGATAGTGCATGCCACATCAGGGATACAAAAAGTATGGGTGATTAGAGATGACTACATATCAGCCACATTTATTGATCCTGGAGCAGCAGAGTTTTTCCAAAACACTTTTAAAAATAGAGAGTCACAGCCCAATCAGAAGACTGTTATTAGAAGACATGTATTTACAGAGGAAGATCAAGTGGTTTCATTGAATAAAGATCTTAAATCTGCTGCATTAGGTCCAGATTGGTACAGAAAACTAGAAGGGATTAAAGATGACAAGGGTGTACAAGAACTTGAAATTGTATATAAAGTTGAGATAAGTTCCGTTGAAGAGAAAAGTGATAAAGAGTTTCCTCTTGAAGTAGTGCTTTCAAATGGTAGAACTATTGAATGTGATTTTGTTGTATCTGCAACTGGTGTTGAACCTGCTGTCAACTTCTCATTGGATGAAGAACCTGTGAAGGGGCCAGAAGGTGGTTTAGCCGTAAATGAGTTCCAAGAGACATCAATAAGAAATATTTTTGCTGCAGGTGATGTTGCACATGCAGCATGGGAGCATGCTCCTCATTGGTTCCAGCTCAGGCTATGGACTCAAGCAAGACAAATGGGAGGCATGGCTGCTAAAGCAATGCATGGTAGAGTAGTAAATGAAGAAGTGTTACAAGATTTTTGCTTTGAATTATTTACTCACTGTACCACCTTATTTGGATATCAAGTTATTTTATTAGGGAAGTATAATGCCCAAGGGTTAGGGAATGATTATGAAATCTTGCTTCGAATGACTCCCAACCATGAATACATCAAGCTAGTTCTACAAAATGGCAAGTTACAAGGAGCTATTCTAATTGGAGAAACAGACTTGGAAGAAATGTGTGAGAATTTAATTCTGGATCAGTTGGATTTGACACCTTTAGTAGATGATATTTTGAATCCAGATATTGATATTGATGATTATTTTGACTAAGCAAAACTGTGATTATGTACATATTTATTAAATAGTTATTGTAACAAATATTTTTTACTAAAAGGAATATTTACTTATTTATATGTGTAAATAATAAAATACTTCAAAAATAATTATAAGTACTAGTTTTTTCTTTTGGCCCTGTTGAATGTACTAGATATTTTACACAGTAAAAATCAGCTTCAGGTAGAACTACAATCTTGGCTTGTCTAAAACACTTTTATAGGATCTGACCCATTAGTAGGGTTTCCTACTAACGATAACTACTGTCGTTTTTTCTCGTAACGTATTTGAAAGCATTAGTATCATTTTTGCAAATTGGTTCCTATCGGGCCTTAACAACAATTGAATCTGTGATTAAATGGAATGATTATTAAAATCGAATGATTCAAAAGCATTTCATTTATTTCGGGTATATTATATCGAGTCACGAGTACAAACTCGAGTTACCAAACTTCGAGTGGTGATTAAAATATCTAGGTACCTTATTCTCGATAACTATCGACGATTTAAATGATGGATCATCATGAATGTATGTGATACTTTGTATCCCGTACCTTCATAGCTTGATAAAAATACCTATTATAGTTACTTGTAGTAACTATTATTACCTCACTCACCTAAATCCACATAATTATGAGTAAAACATTGGTAATACAAACAATTCCCAAAGTGTCAAAAAAAGGATTCTCGTTTTGTTATCAATTGAAGACCAATTCAGTTTTTAATAATTAATCAATGTGCATTTGGCCCTGAAACTTAAAATAAACCTTAGAGAAATCGATACTTTATCGATTTATGGAATTGGAATCGATTTGAGTCACAACACTGTCATCGTCAAATGATGGTTGTAATAATTAGTCAATCCTTCAATCGAGTCGTCAAAAATTATTTACAGATTTGACGTGTTCCGTGTATTGTAGACTGCGTGCATTGTTTTTCTCGATTTATTACTTGCTTTACATTAAAAATTAAAGTCTAATTTAAATACATTGGTTTCTAACTTCTTCACTGTTTAAGCAGGAATAATTCTTTGATAATTAAATAAGTGGATCGTTTTGTGTGTGAAAGTTAATTTATCGGGTCGTTTTATCCTTTGTTTCTATTAAATCCACCGACGTAGTATAGTGTTAAAGAATATTCAAGATGCCTATATTGTATAGTGTCGTTGCCCGAGGTACAGTGCTTTTAGCAAAATATGCGTCGTGTGCTGGAAATTTCACAGAAGTTACGGAACAACTTCTGTCGAAGATACCTCCACATGATGATAAATTGACGTACTCTCATGGAAATTTTCTGTTTCATTACATTGCGGAAAACAAATTGGTTTATTTCTGCATTACTGATGATGTAAGTACAGTTTGTTACTAAATAATGTGTAAAATATGAATGCCTGGACCTGCAGTAAGTTTTTTGTTGCAATTGCTTCAGAAATTCCAACGTTCGAGAGCATTCTTATTCCTAAATGAGATCAAGAGAAGATTTACGACTGCGTTCGGCGACACAGCCCAGACAGCCATTCCCTATGCTATGAATGGTGAATTTGCCCGAGTGTTAGCAACGGAGATGAAACACTACAGTGACTCTAAAGACTTAGACACCATATCTAGAGTCCACGGAGAGTTGGATGAACTCAAGAACATAATGGTCAAGAATATTGGTAAGTGCTATTATACTTCAAACTTTCGCGTTGCATATTATTACTCACACATACCTTTTAAATTGTTTTTAAAACAATCAAAAGGTATGTGTACATTAAATCCCGTAAAACAGTAAAGTATTAGTAAGTACTATTCAGCTGATCCCATTCATATTGTTTAAGAACCATCCAATATGATTTTCTAATTGGATATTTTAAACCTGTACCTACTGATTTTAATTTATCTGACATGAATATTAATATACAGAGTATTTTCTGGTAGGTAATACCTTGAAAGAAATAAATTTAATTAGCTTCAAATGTATAGCAACTTTTCAATGGTAATCATTTAAAACCCTGTAAATTAAACTTAAGTAATAAATTAATGGGGCCACACAACCATTAATAAATAGTATTTGACCTATTAAAGTTAATGACCCTAATTTGTATGTTTTGAAAACAATCAATTAATTTTTCTTCTGGTACTGATAATAATTTATTTGATTATTTATAAAAATTGTATTATCAGCCCTTATCTGTGTTTGCGTGCATTATACCTATGTGTCATTAGCATGTGTGATGTATTGCAGAGGTTTATTTACTCATACAACTGTGATACATATATATACCTATTTAATTGCGCTTACATGGAATTATATGCCACTATTAGTTAATTGTTTACTTTACATAAGGGACCAATGCAACATATTCATACTTAAATTGTGTATAATTAATTTTAATAATGAACAGATATTTCAATTGTTTATTTAATTTTGTTTAATTTAGTAACATCTCCTAATGTACATGTGAATGTTGAATGTTGAAAGGATACAAAATAAGGAAACTACAACAATAACAAAGTCTTATTCTGCTTTGACCTACTATTTCCTATCTCAGTAGAGATTTCCAAACAGACAATAGATAAAGTACCTACAATGATTCATACAATACTGTAGAATAATAGTTTGTGTATAATATGTGATGTAAAATATATTTACATATTAAAACCCATTTTCTATTCTATTTCATTTCAAAACCTACAGATAAAACAGAATTGTTAAAAATGACAATAACTATGGTGCGTAACAAATTACTAGGTACTTAAAATAGTCTTGGATGTATACTTAAATGCATGCAACAAATATTACCTATGAATGAAGGTCTTAGAATAATTTCATGTAATGATTCAGCCATGTTCATAACATGATCAAACACTAATGTAATTTGTTAATGAAAAAAGGAAAATTTTATGATTAGTTGTTGGTATGAAAGGATAATGTTTCCTTTGGTTTTATGAAACCATACAGAAATGGCAGTGTGCTGTGATGGTGTTAAAATGAACAATACTATTATTGTTGTAATGTTAACATAACAATTTTGTTAACAAATTTTAATTACACACTTTAAACTGCACAGTTGTCTGGGCAACCGGCTGCTGTGCATCATGTTGAGGGTGTTATACCCGCATGGAACAACTTGTGTGATTCACAAATTGTTGTGTTATATAAGACAAAATGTTGATTAAAAATATGTTGCATTTACTTTCAGATTACCTTATTTATTATAGTGACTTGAGACATAATTTTCATAGAATGAGCATTCCTTTTGAATATTTTTATTAAAGATTGGTAGTTGTTTTTGTGAAACACACACAGATCACACAGCAAGCCCAATATCATCATTAATTTTTGTTTTGCATATATTACAAGTAACCAAATAGCATTTAGTTCATGTTACAAAAGCAACTAGCTTCTCTTTTTAAAACATAATCATTAACAGTTAATAATATGAACTAATGAAGTGTTTTTTTCATTCCAGATACTATGGCGATGCGCGGGGAGAAATTAGAATTACTAGTGAATAAGGCTGATAATTTAGCAACTGGTGTAAGTGTTAAACTAATTAATTCAATGTAACAGACAGAAAAAAGCAAAAATAATATTGTTTACTTGTTTCCGATAAAATATCAAATTATAGGTATCTGTGAAATGTTAAGAGAGCTGAATCATAAAATATTTTGTTTGTTACTGACTCCATCATTCACCTAATTGATATGTATCGCCCAACTAATGAATGCAAGGACTTAATAAACTGGTTTAAATGAACACAATTTTAACCAAAAACAAGAAAGCTTGATTGAAATGAGTTTTTAATAATATAAAAAATATAAATAATACTGTTTCAGTCTGTATCCTACCGCAACACATCGAGAACACTCCAGCGGTCCCTGTTCTGGAAGAATGTGAAGATGTATGTCATAATGGGAGGAGTTGCTGCCCTAGCGGTATACCTGGTCGGAGCAATGGCCTGCGGTGGCCTCAAGTGGGGCAACTGCGTATAAACCACAACTAAACATGTACATACATTTGTAATACTAGAACAACACGTCAATGGTACCCCTTGCCATTCATATCTCTATTTCGTACCCCATAAGAGCGATATTCGTAATGATAGTATTACCATTGACGTGCGACAATCAAACGTATCAACATTTAAAAACGACATTAAAAATAATTCCGATATACTTGTGAAACTTTATTGTTCTATGACTAGTGTTGACTTTTTAAAACGAATTTTTCCCTCGTTAATGTTTTAAATTTTTACTAGGAGCGACCAAAGTATGGACATGGCTTCAAGTTATGTTATTTATTACAAAAAAACAAGGTCAAAAATAGCTGCGTCATTTCGTCAATTTGTATCAATGTCATTTTTTTAACTGACAACAAATGATAATGTCTATACCAGTTTTTTAATACTATGAAATCAATACTACATATTTTATCAGTAACGCGACTCTTCTCGTCCTTACTAGAATATTTCATATTATGTAATCGCGTCAGTTATTTGTAATCTGATATCATGTATTTCTATATTAGAGATAGTTAAGTAGGTAAACCATTATCCATATTTATAGCAATCCCAACCCATTTATGGTCCATTCAATGTTTATCTAAAATCATTAGAGAAAATATTTGATAAGAGCCTTGCAAATAAATTTTATTTAATTAAATACATACTTACAACAAAATTAACATAAACAAGGTCGTCGTCCGTTTACGTTATACTGTCTATTGCTGCGTCATTCAACTTAAGGATTTTGTATACACCGCATAATATTAACGAATTTCATTGAAATAATGCGTTCCGGCAACATTATTTTTACATTTGATTTAAAAACGTGTTTAAATATGCGAAATAATAGTATCTCCGCTGTCTCATACAAAAATTACATAGGTACGTTGCGTTCAATTCCTTTTGCAAGTTCTTAAAGCAATTAAGAAGACTGGCTGATTAGAAATTTTAAAGTGAGTTTGCGCGGGAAGAAAGTTGTTGATAACATTAAAAGAGTAAGAGAAATGAATACAGCCGTTTAAATTATTCTAATATTTTTTCTATTTTGTTTAACTATTTCAAAATACATAATACAGTGTACTTATAATATTTATAGGAAATGGAAAAAATATCGATATGTTAATTTCCACTTTTGGTTGTAACATATTTTTGCCCAAACACCTGTTTAAATATAGATAAATAATTTATTAATATGTATTCAGTGAATTATATTTACATTGTTATTAAGCATTTTTCTTTATGTCTTTATTAATATATTCACAGGATATGTTGATGGTTTTATCTTAGTAAACTTGTAGGATAAAATTCAGAGACTCTGCGAATGATCCGCTCTTAGCTGTTCAAAAACGTTCATTATTAATTCCAAATTAAAAATTATTCAGCCTATTAAAAAGAAAATCATTTATTTTAATACTTACACTGGATGAGTTCGAATATTCTCCAGGGTTTTTAAAATAATTATCTTTGGTCGAAGTAATTATTTAAAAAAAAATTCTTTGGTCTTTAAATACTGTTAAGTGGAGGCAGCCAAATTTACTGTTATCCCAACACGTTTAAGTATTAAAATAATAAATGAACTATTTATCAATGTTAATGTTCAAACTGATGCAGCCTGAAGTTCGTAAGTGTTTCCAAAATTGACTAATATTGTCTCAGAAATCTATAATTCCTGACAAAGACTAGGGCTTAATTTGTCTTATTTTGTGTTATATCAAATATTAATTATTTAAGAATAAGATCATACCAAAATACCGAAAAAGAAACAAATATGCACGTATAACATTTACAACGTAGGTCCTTATTAAAATTCCCAATGTTCGTTGATTGATAATGATAAAAAATGTTAGTATTGTATTAGGTTTATGTGTATTAGGTTAAAATATAAATAATGCCACACCTGTGTGATATTTGCAGAGATGGAAACTGATTTCAAGTTAAATTTATTATGATTAACGGCTTAATCATTAACGGTGTAACTTGACTAGTTTCAAACTATGATAGGGGCTCACAATTACCGAGGGCACTGCAACCAAGAAATGGCTATCCCGTAAAATAGTTAGCATAGTTAACTTGTGTGTGTAACAAAAATGGTTTCTTATAATTTCTAAAGTAAACAATAAATTTCTGAAAATCCACAATGGTACCGAGCGCCTATCGATTTATAATTCCGAAAATCAAAGTATATAAAACATTTCCATCCAAGAAAACAATAATTAAAGTACTAATATAACTATTGTCTTGTATACAGAACTGTTATTAATCAAAGTATGAGTTTAACATGATTGTCTTTGTAGAAGAAAAAATATTAAGCTCAGCATATATCTCCAGTCTAGTATAGTGTTCCGTATACCACACCAAACATGTAAACCCTTATTTTAATAAAGACTAAAAGTATTGTGATATTGAGTGTATAATTGAATTATGTAAGTATAATAATTTGTTTGATATGTATAGAAATATGTTATAAACTTTATAGGCTACTCTCATTGTTTCATTTTCAATAAACCACCGTTCGCGTGTCGGACGGTGGTAATCCCATCTAGTTCCTGTTTCGATAATGTATTCAATGGCACCGCTTCCCGAATATCGGGTGGCGGGTGGTCGTGTGAGATTGATCCCGCAGTTGGCCGGTGCGAGGGTGCATCCCCCGCCCTTCCCGCGGCCGTGCGTTCGCGGCGAGCGGCAATCGCGCGCCAACCTCTGCCGCGGGAGGGCGCCGCCGACGCCCGTCGCGTTCCTATATCACGCACGTGCTTGCTACTACAACGTTATCGTGTATCGGTGTGAGTGACTGCCCGTTGAATTATTCCGTGTCAATACGCCTCCGCCTCTGCCGGTGCGATGCGTGTCTAGCATACGTATCGCACGATTGCTTGTCGTGTGTAAATGAATATGTTTGTTCTTGGGCATTATTGTTGTTCCCCAGGGATCGGCGACGATTGATATCGCTCACGGATGTGGTATTAATATTAATTTTGAACGTGCCTTATCAATATTATTGTATTTACTAAATCGTAACGCTTGGTCGGCGCAAGATTTTCAGCCTTTCTTATTAGATTCTATTATAATTACGTATCCTTTTGTATTGTCAATTTTGTAAGAAGCGCGCGTAACAGAGGGGTCCAAGGATAATTTATATTAATATTTATTAATCCGGTTTGAACGCGTTTGTTACGATCGCTGTTTGTGTTTTATTGTGCCGTACCGTTGACCAAAATGAGAGTGGAGATATAATACCGGAGATACATATTCATAACATACTTACCGAATATAGCGACGACGTTTGATTGATAGCGCCTGCTTTTAGCTGTTTCGGCGGTTGTATAAGTAATTGAAAAGAAGCCGAATGCGAATACGACTCACCGCTGGGTACTGACGCACACACAGCTAGTGGGTATGCCAGTGTGCGTTGGTTATTAGTAGCACAGGAAGCGGTGTCGATTTTAGGGAAGGTTACATTAGGAACGGTTCACAGGTCATTGTTCTTTTTACATAGAACCGACCTTTTTTGTAGTGTGACAAGATAAATTGCTATTGTTTGTTTGTGAGCCGTTTTGTACGCACCGTGAAGATAGGGAATATTTTAATTAGGTATAGGTAGCTTTATGAATGCGTTAAGTTAATATAATGCTCAAGAACAAATCTTATTTAATTTCAAGTACAAAATTCGAAAATGGGTTAACCGCGCTTTTCGTTATGTCGCTCAAAATTGAAAAGCGATGGTTCTGACTGACTATTTGCTGTGAAAGATGAAGGGATAGAACAGTGTTACAAAATGGATGACAGTTCACCGGATTTGTCGCTGAAATTGCGACGGGGGTCCAGCGACTCTCGCGAGTCGTTTTACATGGACTTCGCGCAAGGTATCGACTCGGACATCGAAGAGGTGACGACGATTGAACGCGTGATTCCTGAGCATCCGGGAGGGAGGACGGAGGGCGATGCCGACACTCTGGCGACGCCGTCTGGTCTAGAGGAGAATAAGGAGCTGGGACCATGGTGCGTTTGTTGATTTCAAATTTTGACAGTTAAATCAATCATTTTTATCCATCTCGGAAACTTTTGTTTCAACTCGATTTTTATTTGTAACATTTTTTGTCAACTTCGACTTTTTTGTATTGTTTATCTTCTGACAGTTCTTGTACTAGTTCTCTAAAAAAAAGCGCTTAACTTGGTTTTTGGTGTTGATTGGCTTCACAAACGAACATGCAGGATGCATTTGCGTAATTAACATCTCACCTGCATTGAACACATTCAGCAATGTGAACAATGCCGCGTAAACGGATAAAAGTAGCCTTTGAATAAACACTAAGCTGCTGACACGATTTGACGCGAACAATCAATCACTGATCGGCTATAAACAGTTAGGTATCTACCTACTGTATTCTTTTTGAGCCACGATAAGGTATAGGTATAGATATCTAAGATTTTTGAAGACAATTATCTAGTTATAACTTATTTGATAAGTGATTAAATACATTTTATTTAAGTAAATTCTTTCTTTAAATACATGAATTATTGTTGGAGGACTTTGGTACCTAAATTAACTATTCAAGTATGTAAAAGGGCTTCCTTCGTTTTATTGTAGGCTGGTACCTACCTAACAATTTACTGGTTGGTTCTGTGGTAGTTACATAAAATAACATGTTTGGTATGCGTCACATCACCCTAAAATTCATAAAATTTTGTCCCAATTTTCGACAGCAAAATAACACGATCGGGTTGTTACACACATTTACATAATCATGATTGATTATTATGCTTCCTTAAATAGGTACCTACGTGTGTAGGAACCTCAGTAGATTTAGGTTGACATCTGAAGTTGTGCAGATCTGTGATGGATATCTCAACGACGCATAAGATTTAAATAAGGAAATTTGTTAACTCCCATAGGCTTTGAGCTTGTAGAACGCAGCGCCTTGGGAACCTTAAGAGAGTACAAATAGTACTAACTACTTCATGTAGTTGCTTTAAATGAGTACCTATCTGTATTGCAGTAAAGGGAATTAACGCAACACAAAACAAAACGGCAGGATAAGAAATAGCCTTATAACCGATTCCTGAACAAATATTCTAATAATCGTAGCCTGCAATAAAATGCATGTATGTAAAGACTGCAATAAAAAAACCTTGGGCTCGGCCTGGAGCAGGCGAAGGAACTGGGTGGTTTTAAGTCAGTCAGAGTCTGACAATCCTCCACTTAACATGGGTGAGAGAAGTACCAAATTATTTGGATGAATTTTCCCTCACAAAAACGTAAAAACATTTATAACTACAGCATCAGAACTTTTTTAAAAGCGATTTTACATCAAACTATCTCACTAAATAGCTGTTTATATATAGAACGAATCATTGGTAGGTATCTAAGTACATTTTGCAAACAAAGCAGTGCAGTGGGAAACCCGAGACGGTTTGTCTTTAGACAGATACCGCCTGCCAGACGTCTAGCCTAGGAACTGTCTACTTCAATCTCGTTCGCAATAATTATAAGGTTCACTTAATCTACGGAACCGTGGAACCGGGCCAGTTAATCTAAGTTGAGATAAATTCTATTAGGTAAATTCAGGGCTTAATTAATAAAAGTCGTTGAAAGTATAACTTGGTAGGATCGTAAAGTTAGTAATCTTCCTTGATGTTAGAGTTTATTTGTATACAGCCTCTTAAGTTCGGTGTCTTAAAGTCGGAGCTTTGTAAATAAAACTCGTCTTCGTGTGAGTTTATTGATATTTTCATTATTATCAATTTACCGAATAATAATAACAGCGATGTGCGATGAATTTCTATTGGTATTTGTGCTTTCAGTGTACCTAAAACTAATAAACTATTTTGAACAAAATCCACAACGGGCCCACAATTCACGAATCACAATAAATAAAAGGTATCGTTGGCGTCACTTAAATCATTTTGGCTATCCAATTCCATCGGTTTGTTTCAGAGCCGTGTTTGATTTGTGTACGCTACATTTGATTTACATACATTTTTAACTAGCATGTGACACCCGCTACACTGGGGACCATAAAATGATGCTCTATTTATTCAAATTGGTCTGAGGGTTACCCGCGTATTATCTATCCATAGCATCATATCTACACCTATGTTTAAAAAACTTGTGTAAGTTTTCTCATGAAACGAATACCCTTTTAAGGTTAGGTTATTTATTTATCCAAGTACCTTTCCCAATCTATGCTTCACCTCTTTTAAATAAATCCTTCGTAGAAAATCAGTCACTTGTCCTCGATTTTTATCTATTCAAGTAAGGTAAACACAATTGGCGAATGGACGAAAAGGACCGAATTTCTTGGGTCAATCGTATTACGTTTATGTAGTGAAGTACAAAGAAATGAAGCGGAACATGAATGTGTGTCAACGGGACCCGTCAGACGGGTCGCTATGGGCTTTCTCTTGAACACCCCGGGGTCAGATAACAGGCCACATGTCGTGCGGTTGCGCACCCGGCCTTATAAACGTCTGTCAAGCTTCGTTCTAAGAAGCTGTCAGTTGCACAATTGTTATTAATATAACAAATTAAGTATTTGTTTAATTGAATTCCAATTATTTTGTTTTATTGTTGTAAGTATTGAATCGTAACTCACAGGCAGTTAATAAGATAACGATTGTACTTACTTAAATTAAAACATTGAGGACAATTTTAATGTTTGAACGTTTTGGGTTATTTAACATCTAATTTGTAAAATCATCTATCTTCTCTGACGAATAGACTGACAGACTACTGATATATTTGACATTTCAAAAGTAGGTACGCACCTACTTTTTTACCTAGGTATATATAGTTTAGTTGGAATAATGATTTTTGAATTTTGGTGATCGACACGACGATTAATTTAAAGACTACAAAGTGTTAGTTCGTAATACAACAAAATTTTTACCTATACCTAACTCCCTAGTTTCCTTATGCATGAAAATGCAGACTGAATAGTACCTACCATATTACCTTCATAAAATGTAACGGCAGGAATTGGCGCCACCGCCAAGTTTGGCATCAAATTACCGACGTAACGGGAATATATGAACTGCTTGAGTATCACGTGTGTACAATGGCGGACTATATCAGTCAGTGCCAGACGTTGTTCCGAAAGAAAGACGAAAAATTGATACATTTTCAATAAAAAAAGTTGGCAAATCTCGTCATTCTCAGTTTTATTTCTTAGAACGACAACTTGAACAGGACACAAACGTCTACTTTTCCAATTTGTCTAGGAAATAAAAATAAAGCATCTTTATTAGTTCTTTCAAGAGACGTTAAATTTTACAAGCTTTGTCCCGCCTTCGGTTCTCGGTTCTCTCCGACACCCGCCTCTCGCCGCCTCCCCACAGAATCACGCCTGTCCTCAGATCCAGAGCGTACAATACTTTTAACACTTCCATTCCCACTTTTTGTACGGAACCGTAATAAAGATACAATGCTCGAAAATAGACCACCGTCGTCGGAATTAAAAAACGACTTTAATGACTTTTTTACCGTCACTCGAACTGAATAATTTTGTCGTTTCGTTCCAATCATTCGTGAAGGGTTTTATTAGGGAGTCATTCCATTTTATTTTCATGCTGTCGGGTAGATAGGTAGGTACGTCTAACTACCAATTTGGAGTGTATGTCCTCGTTATGTGGAAGAGGGACGATTTAATGAACCTTTGTTGCGTCCGCGTATCTACTTAAAACTTGCTGAGTTTCAAATTGTAATTTAGTTTCACTGTGTTTTGGTGTTAACGTAGAGCCTACTTATAATTTTTATACAGACAGTTTACATGTAAACAAAATAAGATTATTAAAAGAAAACAAAGTCAACATTTCCATCACCTATCATCAAAACACTTTTTGGGACTACCCTGTACGACCAACCGTCATAACTAACATTATCTTACAAAATGTTAATATCACACCACTCGCCAAACAATTTTAGCAATATAATATCCTATAATAACCTATATTATCTATTTAACATTAAGATATTCTATTGAATGACTTGCGGACATTGGGTTTCGCAGTTCGATTGATCAATGTCGTTACACCTGTTTAGCTATACGTACCTATAGACAGATATATTTTTGAAAACTTAGGGAATTGTGGGACTAGTTTAGCTAACAATCATAGAACTTGGATATTAATTTTCATCGTAGCTAGACAAGCTTTCGTCACCATCTTAAGCTGGAACACGTCCAGTAGTAAAAAGCCTTCTCCATAAGTGGTTTTTACTAACTACATACAGGGTGTAAAAAGACACTTAACGAAGCCGTTAACTAGGCATACTGCAGTTCTAACTAAGTAGCTTTACGCAAAATTTAACACTGGGAAACAAATTTTATTTTAAGGTATCAAAAAAAAATAATAATATTGCGCCCAATGTAAAGCAAACGGGCTTCGTGTCATTGTGTGCGTAGGTTCACTTAGCATTAAAACGCTGTAATAAGTACGTAGGTCGTCGAGAAAAAATTAAAAATGCATCTTTGACCTTCAATATCTCGATATTCCGTGGAGTCCCAGCTATGGTCTTAAAGAAAAAAAAATGATCCAAATAATGGGTAGAATACGTGGCTTTCGGCTTCGTTAAGTGTCTTTTTACTCCCTGTATGTAGTATTTCGAAAGTAGAAAAATATCTAGCGATATAGTAGATACTGCATTCAGAAACTCTAAAGAAACACCATTGAAGACAATGAGTGGAATTGCTTGGTTTTGTCTTCAGTTGATATAATTATTCTTCCAACAAACTTGTTAGGAATGTTTCGTTACTATATTTTGTGGTCCTTTCTCCTTTAATAGCACTAGTTCCCTCAGTACTAGTCTCTATTTGCGGCTACACCCGCATCGAACTCGTGTTATGCTGCTGCCAGTTTATGGTAATTACATTTTACTTACATGCGAATGGTTTAAAGAAATTTCACGTCTATAAAACTGAAGTTTATCGTCAGCTTAAACTGAAAACTTATTGAATTGTTAGTCTTAGACAGGGGCGAGCACCATATTGATAATAAGGCAAAATAGACAATTAAAAAAAGTACGATGCCTCACGCTACAATGCAATTATACACGGAACAACAATTTGTAGATTACTACTTAAACAAAAAATTTTCCTTACGGTGATCGAATACGCGACACCTTCCTCGACTAACGACAGCTGGTTGCTCAGCTAATTATTGTACCTAACATTTAACACTAATATTCTACATTCGAGTGAAACCACGTGAAATTAAAAATTTATCTGTCGATGTTATATTCTAGAATTTGGAATAATTAGATTTTTTGGGAGCGTATGTTAATCTACGAAAAGAACATATCTATTAAAATAGGTCTATTTGTATCGGAGCTTGATAATTGCTAACAAAAATACAATTACCTAGGTATATCCCTTACATTTCCTTACCCCTTTAAGGAACAAAACCTGTTATGTTTGTTATATTTTACAAGTAAATTTGTTTCTAACCTTTCTGTGCTTTGTAGAGTAGCAACAGATGTCGGATTTCCTCGTAACTGTAGGCACAAACGTTTGGGATTCTGATGACTTAACGGATTCGAGGAACGTGTTATGTGAAGTTTTCCATTATGACAACACATGCCTCGTGAATTGAAAGGATTTTATCGTTATATTTACATGAAATGTGACAGAAATTTCTTTTATTTGGGTACTATTTTGTTTGAATTGTTAAATCCAATAGTGTAGTAGGTGTTTAAAGAGCTATTTGCTTAGTTTCTATTTATGTTCTTACGTTTTTTTCGTGCATATCATTCGGCTGCAAGATAAAATTTGAGATATTATAATATCAATCAGAATGC